CCAAACCTTCCCAGGAGCCATCCTTGGGTGCAAAGCACTCTATAGAATTCCATCTTTCTTAGGTTTTGAGACAGTCAGGTGTATTAAGTTCCACGCAGTGATGTAATGATGTGACAGGAATACACCAATTTGAATTAGTGATATGTTGATTTATCTTCAAATGAAAGAGGAATGAGGTTTGAATAAAATATGCTTATGATCAACGGTGGGCCGCTACACTAACCGTAGCGGTTAGTGTAGCGTAACGCAGCGGAATTCCCGTTAGCATTAAGCGTAGCGTAGCAGAATTCCGCCACAACACCGCTAACGCTACGCGTGTGGGCCGCAAAAAAGGGCCCACTACGCTGCGCTACAGCGCTTTTTAGCGGTTTTTAGCCGCTTTTACCGCTAAAAGTGCTGTAGCGCAACGTAGCGTAGCAAAAATGCGCTACAAAAGCGCTAACACTACAAAATTTTGGCGCAAAAAAAGGGCCTCTACGCTACGCTTTTTGGGCCAAAAGCGTAGCGGCCCACCGCTGTTATGATTTCATCTCTTCTGAAATTCTGGGGAAAAATCAAACTAAATGAGTACAACTTATATAAAGTATCTACAAGTTTCAAATAGATGCAAGCATATTCAAAGTATGTTAATAATGGATGACTGCCGGTCGTGGTTTAAAACCCTCCCAGAATTCAATTTACACCCCCTAGATCTTAATTTTTGGTTTAAAAAATTGTTTTTTCACAAGCCTTATGAATAGGGTTGACGGCACGCCGATGTGCAGGCGCTGCGCACTGACAGCGCGCTGATGTGCAGGCGCTGCGCACTGACAGCGCGCTGATGTGCAGGCGCTGCGCACACGGGCCCTTGGCGCGCATGAAATCTGGAAAAAGGGGGGGTGGCGCGCACTTCTAACCCTGACTTTTTTGGGGGGAGTCATCCATCAACTGCCCATAAAAGTTGTATTTTTTTGGGTTTCTTGTTGGTTGAACTTAGTTTTTGGCCCCCAAGAGCCCAGTTTGACCCCCAAATAGTGTGAAGTGCCGCATGGCACCCACTGATTGTGACTACCCGATAAAGCAAAGTCAGACTTTGCTGTGGTAAAAAAAATGAGGTTGAAAAAAAATATAATTAAAAAAGGGCCTTAATAAAAAAACGCGGTTTTTCCGTGTTTTGACGCGGTTTTGATGCGCCGCAGCACACGCGGTTTCCGCTTTTAGACGCGGTTTCGTAATTAATTTTTTATGGGTTATTTTTTGACTTTTTTTGAATTTTTAAAGTTGTTTCCTACACTATAGAAGGCGTAGAATTTAATGGTAAAAACCATTTTTCATAAAAATGAATTTTGATTATTGATTATTTTTTTTCACTCATTTCTCAATTAATTGTTTGCATACATGTATGTACCTTATTTTTTATGTTTTTTTAAAATTTTAAATTCATTTCCTAGGTTTTAATATGCGTAGAATTTAATGGCGCAGTCCAATTTTTTTAAAACTCAACGGTTCACTTTTAATACTCAAATTACACCCATTTTTTCACTTTATTTTTTACAGCTTAATTTTCATCATTTTTTGACATTTTAAATTTATTTCCTACACTTTAAGACATGTAGAAAATTATGGTATCAACCATTTTTCCCCAAGTTGAAAACTATACCTTGAATGCTGCATTTGACACGTTTTTTTAATTAATTCCTCACTTTTTCACCTAATTGTTTGCATACATGTGTGTACCTTATTTTCTATGCTTTTTTGAAATTTTAAAGTTGTTTCCTACATTTAAAAGTGTGTAAAATTTAATGGTAACATTCAATTCCCATAAAACTCAACGGTTCATTCTGGATACTGTAATTAGTCATATTTTTCAATTGATTTTTAAGAGCTTAATTTTCATTATTTTTTGACATTTTAAATGTGTTTCCTACACTTTCAGACATGTATAGAATTATGGTTACAATCAATTTTCATCAAAATAAAAACTGTACCTTGAATAATGCCTATGACATGTTTCTTTAATTAATTCTCACACGCTTAATTATCCTTATTTTATGTACTTTCAAGTTCATTTCCTACACTTTGAAAGGTTTTCAAATTGTTGGCTGTATCCATTTTGCATTCAAATAAAATTTGTATGCAGTACAAATTATGCAAGAAACGGTGTACGCTCATCTATTAAGATTGAAGCTTGTATTTTGAGTGAAATTGGACTTCACCATTCAATTCTAAACATTTGTAAATGTAGGAAATAAATTTAAAATTTCAAAAAATGCTTAAAATCAGGCCGGTAAAAATCAATCAAAAAAACATTAAAAAAAGCCTGTCCACTGCAGTATTCAGTAACAAGCGCTGATTTTTATGTAAAATGGTTGTTACCATCATTTTTATCATGTATTAAAGTGTGGGAAATAAACTTAAAATGTCAAAAAATAGTGAGAAATAACATGTAAAGAATTAATTGAAAAAAGTGTCTAGTTTCAGTATTAAAAATGAACTGTTGAGTTTTAAGAAAATTGGATGTTACCATTAAATTCTACACACTGTTAAATGTATGAAAAAACTTTAAAACTTCAAAAAAGCATAAAAAATAAGGTACACACATGTATGCAAACAATTAAGTGAAAAAGTGATGAATTAATTAAAAAAAACGTGTCAAATGTGGCATTCAAGGTATAGTTTTCATTTTGGGGAAAAAATGGTTGTTACCATCATTTTCTACATGTCTTAAAGTGTGGGAAATAAATTTAAAATGTCAAAAAAGAATGAAAATTAAGCTCTAAAAATTTAAGTAGAAAAATGGGTGTAATTTGAGTATTAAAAGTGAACCGTTAAGTTTTGAAAAAATTGGATTGCGCCATTGAATTCTACGCACATTAAAACCTAGGAAATAAATTTAAAATTTCACAAAAGCATAAAAAATAAGGTACATACATGTATGCAAACAATTAATTGAGAAATGAGTGAAAAAAATAATCAATAATCAAAATTCATTTTTATGGAAAATGGTTTTTACCATTAAATTCTAAGCCTTTTATAGTGTAGGAAACAACTTTAAAAATTCAAAAAAAGTCAAAAAATAACCCATAAAAAATTAATTACGAAACCGCGTCTAAAAGCGGAAACCGCGTGTGCTGCGGCGCATCAAAACCGCGTCAAAACGCGGAAAAACCGCGTTTTTTTATTAAGGCCCTTAAAAAATTAAAAAATATGGAAAATAGATGATATGTACATGTTTTTTGCTGCAAAAAATGGTGCCCCTGGTGCGCCTCCAATGTGCCAGCCAAAGGCGCGCATTGCTGGCAGTTTTGGAAGCGCCCTCCGGCGCCCACTTTTCCAAAAGTGGCGCTGTCAACCCTACTTATGAAGATAGCTCTCATGTAAGCTGGTTAGAATTATGATTGGGGTGTTAGTTCAGGACTGGGGAGGCCTCAAAAAGCACTCTCAATGGTGACGTGAATTCCTCCAATAATATGAGTGAAACAGAAGTGAAAATAAGTGAAATCAAGAGTTTACTATTAAACCCAGCACCCTCCGCTCAATAACCCCCGATGTGGGACCACTCCCATCCTTCTATCACATCTCAGGCTCACACCTGGACTGGTGGCTTAATGGCAATAGAGCCAAGCAAAAGCCAACTGATGGCGCACAACTCCACCCCTGAGACCCTCTCCTTTTATACCCTACACCTCTCCTCCCCCACCCTCCCCACTTCCCTCTTCCAGTTCCCCCATCCTCCCTGCTTCCCTCTTCCGGTCTACAATTCAACAAACCTAACCCCAATGCTTGACCATTTTCCTTTTTTTTAAGTTTAACCCTCTTCCCCCTGAATTCCCTGTTCCGGCCAATTGTTTTAAGTGGAGTTCATTTTAAGCCAATGACTTGTTATGGCACTTTAAAGTCATACCGGAACTGAATTTAAAATGCCCAATCTAAGTTTTTTTCCAAAGGATATTTTTCATAAGTGTTGTTGTGATGGCTAAATAATGCTTGTCTTGGTTCAAGGTTGAATTTAAAACTCGGAGTGGTCCATGAGTAGTTTCTTTGACAACGAGAAGGGATCTGCTATCCATATAAAATACTAAGGCTGATGACAAATTCAAGTTCATGGCCGGCCAATGACTTTTTCAATCAATTGGGGTTGAGAGATGGTCTATGCCCTAGATTCATTCAAAAATGAGTTGTGTTATGGATTAGGAAAAAAAAAATTATGCTTTACAGAAAATTAAATGTCAACAGCTTATCGATGTCAAGGTGTTATTATTATGACCCAAAATAAGGGGAGTTTGAATTACAGCGGTAGTGAACAAGGACTTGAATAAATGAAGGTGCAGCTGGTGTAGCAAAACGATAACTTGACTAGTTAAGGGGTAACTGGGTTTTGCTTGCAAGCTGACAATTATATCCACTAGTCATGTAGCAAGAGAGAAGGAAAATTTGGCAAATAGTGAAATTTTATACATGATGCATGAATTACAGGTGTACCTTGTGAATGTGATGGAAACAAGGGCTGATAAGGGCTGATATACATTTTTGGTGAGGATTTTGAATGTTTGGCCAGATCCATACATTTTGTTTAGACACATACATGGGGGGATGTCTGGGGCTTTTCTCCACTGGAACCATGGTTGACCGTCAGCTATCAGCTGGCAGCAGCCGTTGAACAATGAATTCTATAGATTGTCAGAAGACTGGTCAACTCCGGTCTCCCTGAAAATGAGATATCTGGGTACACAGGTGCTTATGTCCTAGCGGTGTACAGTGGGTAGACAGTGAAAAGTGGCTGCTTATTTTGGATTCCAGAGCTCTGAAACACAAACTTGAAGTCATGAGACTTGGGCAGGTGGTGCATAATAGCTCCCAAAAAATGAATATGAAATAATAAAAGCAAAAAATAAAGTTTGAAAATTTGTGAAAAATAAAAAATAAACTCGATTTTTTTCAAAAGCTTTGATATTCATTTTGGGGGAGTGGGAGTGCTGAGGCAGCAGCAATTTCTTACCTGCCACGCGGCCGATGTCATCAGTTCAACAAAATCGCGACCCAAACCGCCTTACATTAATCTAGACTATTTCCCGTTTTTTTCGCTGTTTATTTCCTTGATTCGTCTCTTGAATCATGCCATCCTATCAACATTGTCCAATCCATTAGCGCCCATCACCGATTTCACCAACTATTTCTATTCGCTCGTTTGCTACACCTGCATCTATCTCGTACTATACATTTTCCAGGGATTTCTTGTGTTTTGTTGAGTCAAGCGTCGCACTTATTTTCTCATTGGCCGATTTTGACTGATCACTGAAGCCTGATAGATTTTTTTGTTTCTTATCTGGGCTCTTGCAGGTAATCTATTTGGCCTTGAAAAGTATCTCATCTTAATTTCTGGAAAGTTTTTAGCCGGATACGGTACAATTACATGGGGTGATACTTGTAAGTCAGACAGTGTTTCATTGGAATTATAGGTATAACTATTCTAAGCGGCCAAGGAATAAAATATGTTTCTTCCCCAAAAAACCATTGTGAAAATGATAAATTTTTTCGTTTATAGCAATGTTTGAACATAAGGCCAACGTTATATCGGCTGCGCGCTCTGTTCTTTCGAGCCGGCTGGATGATGATTCATCTGGAACAATTACCACGCCGATCGAGTTAGATTTTTGTGTTGAGGTGGCGAAGTCGATCTTATTGATGAGCTCCATCCTTTACGAACGGGACCAAGAATTCGTTGAAAGGGCCTTCGAGGGGACAGAAGAAGCGCGACTGAATTTACTGAGGAGCGAGGAGAAGTTGCTGAAGGCTGCAGCCGACTGGAATTGTCAATTTACTTCAATTGCTCGTGGGTCCTGACAAGCTTTCCACTCACATCCATGATATCAATCATGAAGAATCTTTGGAAACCTGCTGTACGAACTGAACCGAATTCCGACCTGTCACATTAACCTAGATTCTCAGACGGCCAAAGGTCCATTTGTTGGTGCATTCTTCGACCTTGAGGCCCGGCCCAACCCATTCATGGTCATCGTTTTCAAGGGTACCTCTTTTCACGATATAAACGAATGGATAGTCGACACAAGCTTCAATTTTGAAGCCTGCGCTGATCAACTAGGTAATTCTTTTTTCTTCTTCTTAAAAATAGATAAAAGTCTATCACTATATGAATTTGATCTACCTTTCTCAATCCGTGACCACAGGCGCCGGATTGGCTCATCAAGGCTTCTACTCCAGCTTGTTTCCAAGTGCATCTGATCGGGAAATGCCTTCAACTTACTGTAAGTCGAGGATGCCTTTTTTTTTCTCATATTTTTACCATCGTAAAAAACATATCAGAAAAGAAGTGCTTACAGCAGACTGATACAAATGGGGTTGATTTTTTCTCATCAAATTACTTGGTAAATAATGCAGTGAGGACAATTGAAACAATAAGGAGCGTGGCCAAGCATATTCATGAAGAGGCAGGCATTCCTATGAACTTGTTTGTTGGAGGACACTCGTAAGATCTTCTGAATTTAAAAAAAAAAAAACAGTCCACGGCCAACACAATCACAATGACCCAGTATCGTTTCAATGCCGGTTGAATATGTAGATTAGGAGCAGGGATTGCCTCGTTGTTTTATGCCAGACTACTAGAATCGCCGGAAGATTTAGGCCCACATACGATCCTACGAGATGCATATTGTTTTGGAACTCCACGCGGAGGCGATAGTTCATTAGCCTCAAGAGTCGAATATAATCTCGCTAAACCAATCAACTTTAAAAGGTGCTTATGGACAGTTGGTAATCGATCTGCGTCTACTAGATTGGGCGATATCATCCCTCGTTTGTTAAATCTTCTCTGCAACACTTTCTACATTTTTCGCATCTATCTCATGTTTGGTGATTTCATTCATACTATCAAGATCTTCCTCCTGGTCTGGCTGATCAGAGGCGCTTCAGGACTGCGATCGCATCTGGGAGTTCATTATCATATGCGGCCATTGGAACGCCGATTGACCTTGAGGTATATAATCATCACACCCTTTTTGATGTGTTTCTTAATAACAGCAATACACTAGCGAAGGAAGAATTCCCTTCCAACTCAATGGAGGGGCCTACGGCTGGATACTGATCACGCGATACTTTTCCATCTATTAAGCCTCGAGGAAAAATTCCATTTTATAGGTTTAGATCAATCCGATGTGGGACTAGATTGAAAGTTCTAAAGCTTTCAAATTCTCCAGATCAGCGCATACAGGAATTATGTTTGAATGCAAAAGATGATGATTTGTTGTTCAACTTGCAACAACCTTCCTTGGACGACCCTTTCTTTTGGCTTAATGGATGCTTTCGAACTCTTCTTCCTTTCAGTCAGTTGTTCTTCTGTTTCTTCTCATCACTCTCATCTGAGAAATACTGATTCATTGATTTTCTTTCACTATTTATTCTCTTTTTGTCATTCAAATGAAAAACTAATTGCTCACATAATTAGTCCATGATCATCGTGAGTCTCTATATCATCCTCTGGAAAGGAAAAATTAAATAACAACACTAAAAAACCCCATGTTATTCACAATCTTTTCTTTGAAAAGTCCCAGGTAGTTATCTAAGCTCTATGAATAAAATCTCGCACACAAATTTCACATAGTCTTCTCAGCCAAAGCCAAAAACATCCCAAAAACAAGCTTAATTTTCAAAATACTTCAAAAAAAGACAAAGCACAATTGATCGCTGTCCAACACCATCACGAGTTTCTTTTTTATGTTACTGGTTAAGCAGAATGCCAGTGTGTTTTTTGTTCAATTTTATCTACAAATAAGTGCCAAATTTGCAAATAGACAAAAATAATGCAAGTGGCTACATAGATCTCACACAATTAAATCCAACCAGGTAGAAATCAAACTCTTCCCATTTCTACCAACCTCACCCTTTATATGAGTGATTTTCTCTTCTTCTCCCTCTACATCTGTGTTGTATATAATGTATAAACACCTTTATTTTTTCCTCTTGAAATAAACTCTGTCTGATCTCACTGCAACAATAATAACTCAAGGAACTGTGAAAAACCACAAGAAAACATGGATGGTGATTGTTTTTTTATTTGATTGAATTGATCAGGTAAATTTGATTTCTCAACAAAAAGGTTCAATTCAGTGTTAAATGCAAAAAATTGGTAGTATATTATGACACTAATGCTGTGGATGGGCCACCAAATTGAAATGTGAACCTGCATTGAGAGGGCTGTGCCGCGGTCAGATTACCTGCAGTAGTGTGATCCTAATGACTTGTGGTAGAAAGGTGTTGAGACAAGAAGGAATGAAGGAACAAATAATTTACAGTATAAATTGAGGCAAAGAAACTCTCCAATGTTTACTCCCTCATGAAATTCCAGAATAAGGCTCTCATATTGCTGTTGAGATGGATCAATTAGTTGACAGAAAGTCCTCCAATTGTCTCTCACATGTTCAGTACTGATAAATTGAACATTCACTTTCTACAGATTCAAGAACATGCAAGTGGGGGCTGGGGGAAATGTGGTCAGGGAGATAGAGAAGAAGTAAGCCATCAGGTACTTCATCATCATGGGCCCATATACGTAGGGGTTCCAGAGCAAAGGCTGAAGAATCTGGTATAAGAAAAATCTTCCAATGGAAAGCTGAAGATCTGTCTGGTAGAAAATCAAGTCCCTCCCCCCCAGTTTGCACAATACAACCAGCAGGAGATTTGGTAAGCTATTGTGTGTGGGGAGGCTAAAAAATCAGTTTGGGGTTGTTTTATTTTTTATCTTGCTTGACCTTGATGAACATTCATACTCATGGCCATTGAAATAGATCAACAAGAACCCAACTCCCCTTGCGATTTGATAGTCGTTTGTTAGTTGCAAGACCCTTCGACGAGGCCTGCTTATCCACATCTGAAGTGCTGAACCATCTGGTTTCCAGTGATTGTGAAGATGGCGATGAAAAGTAGGTTCTATGTTTCAGAGATACAAAACGCTCCACCAACGCTCGAGGAAAAAAAGAACAAGATATGTGTAATAGCTACAGCATCTCTGAAAGTCAATCCCTCCAGGGCAGAGCCAAAATCAACCGAGTATAAACTCCAGATGTCGATACAAGAAGTGTATCATAGCCGTGATCCCCCAGAATGAGTTAAAGCCATCTCTGAAGGTTGTGTTTCGAGCTTTTTTTTGTCCCCCTGATGGGGCCCCCCCCCTCACCAGCTCCATGACCTGGCCGGCTGTAATTGCAAGATGTACTGTGTGAGGTTCATTAAAGAAGCTGAACCGCACTTTTGTCTACATAGCTATTTGTAAAACCCTTACATAAAGATTTCAGATGCATCTCTTTGAAGCTTTCTCGATCTTCTCTTCTTACACACTCGCTGCAGCATCGTTATCGTCCAGGAGGGGCACAACTCGAATCCCATGATGTGGTGGCTCTTTGATGATGGACAAGACTGTGTCTAGGCATAAGCTTTATTGTTTCTTTGTTTATCCCATTATTCCCTCTGACGAGTGCTGTGACGCGGATGGTATGTATCCCTATTTATATTCCATAGCTGGCTCCTGGAGGTCATTTGTCTATTTCGACCTGTCGACAGGCCTTGTCCTCCTCCCCCATGGAAAATGTACCGCCATGCTGTGATCAAATGGTCCGATTTCTCAATGCGTGTTTGTATCTATCCACGTAAATCACTTTGGATTGCGAGGACACACAACTCTTTGCAAACAGTTATTTTAGTTGGTTGATTCTCCGCTGCAAGAACCATTGATGACCAGCGCATTCAAAGAGACTTGTCAACTCCGGCGATTCCCTGCAATTTAGAATGAGAAACATAGCTTCACAGATGCTATGTCCCAGCGGTGTACACAAATACACACAGCGACCCGGTCGCTAAGGCAGCAACGACGACGACCATCTACACAGATTTTTTTAAAGGAGGCGGAGTGTGGCCTTGAGTAGTCTATCCCAGGATCCGGCTGCGAGCCGGCCGGTCTGGAATGGCTGGGCCCACACAGACTAGTTTGAAGGCTTCTCTGCTGTCTTTCTCGGCACCGCAACGCTCACCTATATCGGACTGTCTCTTTGACACATATTGTATAAAACAACCTGTTGCTCTCCATCCAAGAACTTATAAAGTCCCAATTACACGAAACAAAACTATTTTCAAAATATAAGAGCAAGCAAGCCCAGACCGCGGGCTCATTGGACTCACCACCAGTCATCAATTTACCCAGGTTCTTTACCACTATTGGTCAGGCCACTTGCCCACCATGGGTCACCCTGTGCCAACCGCTCCCAATTTTCTCTCCCACACTAGTCCAGAATACCTCAACATGAACGAGGAAGAACTGGAGGAATACTATCAAAGGGTCCGTACATAACGTGGAGTTTTTTTTTTTTTTTTTTTTTTTTTGTTACTTTCTACAATGTATAACCGATCAAGCCATGACTGCTTGCCCGGTGTAGAAGAAAGGTTTCCAAATATGTCTAGTGCATGATTAAGTTTTGTGCGAAAGAGAAAAAAAAAACAGACGAATGAGAGCTAAAGAAACTTGGACGATTTGTGCCCAGATCTTCGAGTCACTGCATCCACTGCAACAGAGATTTCTTCGCTCGCATGCGGCCGATGTGATCAGTTCCAGCAGCCGCAGCTCCCGACGCCCGCCGTCGCTGGCCAACGATCCAGTCTACGATCTGCCGTTTCTCTCGCTGGTGTTCTCGCTGCTCCGGCTGCTCACCCATGCCCTCTTCTCAGCTCTGTGCAATCCTCTGGCGCCCATCACCGACTTCACTAACTTCTTCTATTCGCTCGCTTGCTACTCCGCCATCTATCTCATCCTCTATCTTTATCAGGCTTTCCTTCTCTTTTGTTGAGTCTCTAATCTCTCCTCCACTGCTTTTTTTTGAATCTTTTGGACCAATCACTGAAACTTAACGAGTCTTTTTTTTTTCTCGGCTCTGTCAGGTAATCTATGCGGCTTTCAAAAGTACATCGTCTCCATCTCTCAAAGGTTTTTTGATGGATATGGGACTATGACCTGGGGTGATCATAGTAAGTCAGACGGACTTAAGTTTTAGATTGAAGAAAGGCGGCACAGAGAGACCAACAACGCATATCTCTTCGCCAAAAAAAAAAACCATGTTTCCGTTATTATAGCAATGTTTGAAAACAAGGCGCCCGTGATATCAGCCGCGCGTTCTTTTCTGTCGAGCCGGCTGGATGATGATTCAGCCGAAACACATGTCGGGCCGATTGAGCAAGAATTTTGTGTTGAGGTGGCCCAGTCGATCCTATTAATGAGCGCGATCCTCTACGAGCGGGACCAAGAAAGTGTTGAGAGGGCCTTTGAGGGGGCCGGCGATGTGCGACTGAACCTGCTGAGGAGCGAGGAACAGATGCTGAAGGCGGCAGCCGACTGGAATTGCCAATTCACTTCAATTGCTGGTTTGTACTTCAACTATCGATGGAAACGCGCTGCTCCACAAAAATCTACTGCAAACTGATTTCCGGCCTCTCATATGATTGTCCATACAAGATTTCCAGACGGCCAAGGGTCCATTTGTGGGTGCATTCTTCGACCTTGAGGCCCGGCCTAACCCATTCATGGTCATCGTCTTCAAGGGCACCTCTTTCCAAGACATCAGCGAATGGATTGTCGACACAACCTTCAATCTGGAAGCCTGTGCCGATCAACTAGGTCTTTTTGCCTTCACTCTCTTACATACACAATCATCATCATCCTATCATTCTATTATGAGGCTCATCTTTCCTTCTCAATCCATCATTTCCAGGCGCCGGATGCGCTCATCAAGGCTTCTATTCCAGCTTATTTCCAAGCGCATCTGCTCGCGAAAAACCTTCACCTTACTGTGTGTCCAACATTCCATTCCATTCCATTCTTTTTTTTTTTTTGGTCTCATACTTTCACCATCATGTAAAAGATGTTTGTATGCTTATCAATCCACTTGACAAATACTTGTTAATTTTTAAGTGAGGATAATTGAGACGATTAGGAGTGTGGCTAAGCATGTCCATGACGAGGCCGGCATTCCGATGAACCTATTTGTTGGAGGCCACTCGTAAGATTTTTTTTTTCATTCGATACATACCAAAAACCATCAATCCACAATCGACACCAAAAAAAAAAAAAAAAGAAAAAAAGTAACCCAGTATAAAATTCCTGATGACTGTTGAAAATTTGCAGATTAGGAGCCGCGATAGCCACGATATTCTATGCCAGACTGCTAGAATCGCCCGAGGATATCGGCCCGCACACGGTCCTGCGGGATGGATATTGTTACGGGACGCCGCGGGGAGGCGACAGTTCGATGGCCTCAAGAGTCGAATACAATCTTGCCAAGCCCGTCAACTTCTCTCGGTCCTTATGGCGAGTCTCCAATCGCTCTGCTTCTGTCAACGTAGGCGATATCGTCGCCCGTTCGTCTCCAATTCTTCTTCTTCTTCTTCTTCATTTTTGTTCGTTTGTTCCGAAAAAAAAAAAAAATCCCATCATACAATCTCATCCCCTTCCACACTCTCTTTTGAAGACCTTCCGCCTGGTTTGGCGGACCAGAGGAGCTGCAGATCAGCGATCAGAGCTGGGAGTTCATTTATCCATATGCCGCCATCGGAACACCCATTGACCTTGAGGTACATATCTTTCTTTCTTTTGCCCTCTTATTTTACAACATCATTGATTAAAGAAGACTTCCCCTTCTCCCCCACGGGGGGGGGGGGGGGGGGGGGGGGAAGGGGGGCACCAACCAGCTACTGATCGCACAATATTTTTTTTGTTTCTTATCTAATAAGCCGCGCGGAAATCGACCGTTCTATCGATTCAGATCGGTCCGATGTGGGACTAGATTGAAAGTGACCAAGCTTCTAAATTCTGCGGATCAGCGGGCACAAGAATCGAGTCTCTCAGAAGATGATCAGTTGTTGTTCAACTTGCAACAACAACCTTCCTTGCGTGATCCGTTCTTTTGGCTCAATGAATGCTTTCTGACTTTCGCTCCTTTCGGTCCGTGACGTTTCTTCTTCTCACCATCATCTGGAAAACCCTAATTGATTGATCTTCTTTTCTCTCTCTCTCTTTGTCTTCCTCGATAAAAAAAAAAACAACTGAATTTGCGTAGTCCATGATCATCGTGAGTCTCCATATCATCTTCTGCCTAACAAAACCGGCGGACTTAAATACCAAGAAATTCGAAAAGGAGGAATGCTAAAAAAAACACCATGTTTTCTCCTTTCATTTGTAGTCCCGGGCAGTTATTTAAGTTCGCTGAACAAGATCTCACGGACCAAGTTGTAGTCATCCCATCAAAGTACCATTATCAAGACTCTCAGAAGCACACAATCAAGACCAAACAAAAACGTGAATTGACATGCAATCCCACGTGAACAGAGGCAAACAAATATATCAATACCGACTTTGTTCTTAGATTAAACACCGAATACCAAAGACAAATATCAGTGCGATTTACTCTCTCTCTCTTTCTCCATCAGACAATAAGGAACGGACAAATGTTTGTTTAACTAGCCAGTATGTAAAACCCAAGTACCAATCAACTCCTGACATTTCTACCCACTCTATCCTTGACTCAAGTGCTTCTTCTCTTTACATCCTCTTTCTTGTAATAGTGTAATGTTGTCTGATTGTTTTTTTTTTAGAATTCTTTATCTGATGTGTGATCCCATCCCTACCCCCCACACAAAAAACATTCATCTCTTTATTCTTGCCCAAAGAAAAGGACAAGGCGTTTTGGTGGTATATTGTTAATGCGTGGAAAACCGTTGGACTCAATTGATCTCTTTGAAGCCAACGAAATGATTACCACTTTTTTATGCACATATGTTATCTGCATGACATATTGTATGGAGCTTCGAAGGCAACAATTTTAACCATGATGAGAGCATATAAGTTCATTTGATTTTCTTTCATTTTTCAACGAGAATAGAGAAGAGGTAAGTAGTAGGACGATGCTCGGGATCTTTGGACGACCGTTGAGTTGAGTGAGGATCGTCGACGGAGAGCGCGACAGCATAAGATCCGGTCTGTTTGAGAGGTTTGAATTTAAGAAGAGGGGGGAGGGGGTCCAGCGAAGAAGAAGAAGAGGAGGAAGAAGAAGAATCGGAGCAACCGACGATCTTGATGAACTGGGACACAGACGAAGATTGATCGGATTCGAATTCGAATTTGTCTACCAGTCCAGCGATGATTTCGTCAGCCTTGATAGAGGAGTAAAGCGAGTCTGAGTTTTCGGGTCCGGGGCGTTTAAAGACGAGTGCAGGATGATGAGAAGAGCGTAGGGATTGACTGAGCGTGTGTAGGTATTGATCGAGGCCCTTAGGAGCTTTCAGAAGCGGGACGGATTGAGGGGAAGAAGAGCGGAGCGGATCGACTGGTGAGGAGGATGGGGGACGGGCTGGAGTGTTGGCCGGATTGGCGGCTCGTTTCCACTCGTTAAGTTGTGCTTGCGCCCCGCGAAGCTCGCCCCTGGTGATCGGCATCTGGACCCCAAGCCGCTTGAGTAACTCGACCAACGGTCGGGACAGGCCCGGCGCTGGCACCTTCATCCCTCGTCGCACTGTCGGCTGGAAGTGATGGATCGGGATCCCGTCGTTCGCACAGTACAGCGCTTGTCCAGAGGGGAAAAGTTGCTGTCTCATGTGACCTGGCTTGACTCGAATCACTTGTCCTTATAAAGAAGGAATCAAAAAAAAAATAAAAAGAGTTGTTAGTTCTGATCGTAATAGATCCACTAACGAAAATAAATTATATGATGGATAAAACGAGGAAAGACATGAGATACCTGCTTTACCATGACTCGGATGATCGGTCCTCAACTGAACCTTGATCCGTTTCTGGACCCAAACGAAATGCTAAGAAACAATAACAAAGCTTAGCAAGTTAAGTAAAAAGCTTCGCAGACGACAGTTTTCATACGAGGAAGACAAAGAACTCACACCAGGGCTTGAAGAGAACCATCGCGACGAGGAGGGTGCCAGTTGGATGGAGCTAGCCCGAAGCGTGCCTGATCCCGAAGTGATAAGCGTCATCTCCGAAGTCGTCCTCCTTGGGTTTGGCTCGCTCTTCGAGTGGGTTGGAAGTCAGTCTGCATGACTCCCGGACCCCGGTTCAGTCCCCTCCCCCGCCCCCCGCCCCGAATAGACACCTCGGGCTAATCCCCGAACCCAGAGCTTGTAAACTCACACTTCCCCACAACTGCTCAGTACTCTTTGAAGGGTTTCAATGTTTACTGATAAGAATCTGATTTTGAAAATGATCTGTTTACTTATGAGCTCTATGTGGAACTATCCCTCAATCGAAATCCTTGCAAAACTAAGTGCTGGGGATGATGAGAAAGTGGACACTATCCAGGATAATACTCTAGGGTAGTTTTGCTTGTGGACTACATAGAAATTTGGCTGCATTTGAAAGAAGAAGACAGGAAAAAAAACCTGCAGGATCATCTGAATAACCAACATTGAGGCATTTGTGTTTATTTTAGAAAGTGCAAGATAAGTTGTGACCCACACAAATTTCAAGAAGCTGCCCCTTTCAGCCCTTGATTAGCTCGGATTTTTTTTTTTTTTTTTTTTTTTTTTCAAAAAAATGTCTTATGTAACCACTACACATTTACAGCAGATCAAATCAGGAGTTTTTGAGCAGTAACTACATCACCAAATTGATTTTTTTTTCTTCTTTTCTGTAAATGCTGTAAAGAAAAGGAAAAAGAAAAAGTTCTTCTTGAGTATATATGAGTCTTTTATTTAACTCAAAAAAAAGTACAAAGTGTAGTTGATCAAGCTATGTACGATTTGCTTACTCTTTATAAAGAAAAAAAAAAAAAAAACTCTCTCTCTCTCTATATAAGAGTTCATATATATAAATATAAGCTGGACGATACATCATCCGTGCCTATCATTCATCAAAAAAACAAGCACAGTGATTAAAGAAGAAAACAAGGCTCATTTCGCTTTGTCGCTTTCATCATCCTCATCATCGTCTTCCTCAGCCTCATCATCATCCTGGCGGCCTAGATGAGCGGGTTGGGCTTGATCGATCGGCCGAGCTGGCCTGACTTTAGCTCGTTTCGCAGGTCTGGTATTGGGCATGTCTTCGGGCTCCTCTTGGTCATCGTCAGCCCGAGGTCTTCGGTGTCGTTTTCCGGTCTCGTTTGCAACTGTGTAAGAAAAAAAAAATGAGGAAAGAAAAGTCAGAGGATTAGGTGTGATCTTGCAAGCATGGGGACTATTGAAAGAGAGAGAGGAGAGAGACTGACCGGTTCTATACTTTGCGAGATAGATCTGCAAGGCCTCGTAGTAGCCTTCGAAGCCCAATCTTCGGACGGCACAGATCAGATCGACGCCGTTGAGCGTCCTGCGCTTCTCCGCCAGGACTTGTTCATTAGCGTCCGAGGTGAGGAAGCTGATAAACTCGGAGACACAGGCCTGGATCAAGAGTTTGGAGGGGTTCGAGATCTTCGAGTCCAGCGGGACGGAGGCCTTCATCAGCTTGGAGATGTTCGAGAGAGGCAGGAGCAGATGTTGCGGGTTGAACCGATCGACCTCGGTCTCCTTGATCGGCGCTGATCCTCTGCCGGCATGGTCTGCATTCCCGCTCCCACCCGCTTCGGTTGTGGTGGTCGCCGTCGGATGAGGCGCGATGACTGAGAGTGAGGCCGTAGTAGGGAAGATCGTCTCGCCATCCTCCATCCTGGCATCCGAAGTGTTTGCCAACAACTTCTGGCTCATTAAAACACACCCCCACACTCCACCATCGACAGCCCACCCCCACCCCCCGTGCATTCCGGATTCCCCCGGTATGGAGTGACAATGGAAAGCCGAGGGGAACCCGGTCGTTGGCCTGCCCACTACTTAGAATTGGGGACAACTTCCATACATAGGTTGTATTTTTTGCACCCATGAAAGTCGTTCAGAAGAAGTAAAAAGATTGATCAACATGCAACAAACGTAAAGTAAAAAAAAAAAATGCAAGACGAGAGTGGAAACAACAAAATTGATGTGACCAATACGCAATACATGGCAGCTTACTTGCTCAAAAGATTATCAAGAAAATGTAGCTGTCTTACTGAGGTTTATTGCTTATAAACATGATGAGAAGGAGGTTAAGATGTTCAGAATGAGATTCTTCACCACGAGTCATGACCACCTGGTTGTGTTGAGGGAGGGATGACCATTGGCCAACCAGCCAGTACTGCTTCTTTTTTTGCCTAAAGAAGTCATCCCAGATAATTGAGACCAAGTTATCCTGTCACACAGCTGGAACATTAAGGAAATTTATAGAGAGAGAAACAAAAAATCAGGAAAAAAAGGAAAAACTCTGAGGTCTACATTCTTCTCCAGGAAACCATATTAAACCAGACGTACATATTGTTGAAATAGTATGGAATAAAGAGCTTCGAATATAGAATTTGAAAAAGAGGGGGGGGGGGGCATGAGACCCAGGGTGACTAATTATAAACTTATGTGAGGAAAAATTGGATGCAATTCTTGAAGAAAACAAGCAATTTTTTTTCCAGCCAAGCAGCAAAAAAAAGGGGGGCAGGAGAAAAACACAGGCGAGTATCCAGCCAGAAGAAAATGAGCCAACCACTCATTCCGATTTTGACTTGTCTTTGGTTATGAGCTGGATGATTCTGGTGTCCTGGTAAATTCCTAGAACCCATCCCTGGTAGAGGGACTTGCAGGTTGTCAGGATTCCATTTCCCCTCATCTAAGTTATATCTGAAGCTTTCTTACCCGGAATTGATGACTTCTATGGCAGCAACTCCCAGGCCTCAATAACAATTTGCTCTGTCTCCTATAATGGTACTACCAATCATCAACCCACTCCTCCCTTTGCAAGCCTTCACCCCCCCCCCCCTTTTTTGTTGAGTGTTTTTGAGCAGAGTACATAAACTAGAGTAAGAATTTGTGGGGGGACTCCCAGTGGCCTGCGTATCTCCACGCTTGAAAATGCCGAGGATATCTTCCGCCTTGTCCGCAGCTTGTGGACAAGTCCTGATCCAAGTTTATAAGCCAACCAGAAAAAAAAAACAGAAAAAAGAGACTGTGTGATGAAGATGCTGAGATGCTGAGCCAGTACATACATTATGGTTGTCTCATCATCATCAGTGTGGACCCCGATAATACAATCCTTGTTGAGTCGTCAAAGCTTTTTACCCAAGGACTTAGGAAGATCAAGTTTACCCCCACCAAACATTTTTTCTTTTATTTTTTTTGGGGGGGTTTCCAGACATGGGGACAGATAACCTGTTCTCTGAATATCGCTGAGCCCGACACAAAAACCCAAGCCAGTCTTAACAGGATCCCTTCTTCTTCTTCTTCTGATTCCTCCTCCTATTGCACAAACTGATCAAGACAGCAAGCAGCCCCAACAAGCTTTTTCTTTTGTTCTCCCTCAGGCTCCTGAAAAGGCCACACCTCATCCAAAGAACCAAAGTTCATATATATATATATATATGGTGTTGCAAGCGGGTCTGGGCACAGGCCCCAGTCCCGCGTGTCCTCGCGCCACCGGGGCCTGGGCCAGCGCCCAGGGGGCTTGATTTGGCAGGTCGCGCGGGGGTCGGACCTTGGCACTGGCCCAAGTCTGGCTTGGCTGAACCCAAGCTCTGGGCTCACCAGATCACCGACATCGACTACCACCACCACCACACCCGCGACCCACCTAGCTGACCTGTGAGGTCAGGTTTGGCGCGGGTGGCACCCTCGCTTGGGCTCGGCCAAGCGTGGCTTGGGTCCGACCCCCTCCAAATTGGGGAGGTGCCAAGCGAGGGTTGAATCTGAGCCAAGTTGGGTTTAAAGGGCGCCACGCGCGCTTGGGAATCGGCCAAGCCCGCTTGGCCCCTTTTTTTCCCAACTTGGGCCTGTGCCCAGACCCGCTTGCAACACCATATATTCTGATTATAAACCAAAAAAAACCTAATCAATCTATGTTTTTCATATCTCATTCAATGATCACCCAAAGATCATCAAATATATGATCACTCACTCAACCACTCAATTTTCACAAAAAAGAAGAAGCGGAATAAAAGGACCAAGCAGCAAGGAAACTATAAAGTGTTATATATTTCGAAAAAAGAAAAGAAGAAAAAAAAAAGGGAGGGAGGTAATGAAGATTGAACGAAAAGGAAGATTAGAATTCGAGCTGGTCGAAGTACGGCAATTCCTGGGTGTTACCGACGGCGACGGTTGTCGGCGGACTATCCAGAAGGTCCTTTGCCGCCTGAAACCCACCCAACCACCCAACCAACCAAAAAAAAGCCATTAAAGTCCGATCAACAAAGCAAAAAAAAGGGGGAAGAGAGGACTGACTTTGACGACTTGGTCGGCCGTCACTTGGGCATAAGACGAGTACAGATCAGAGAGTTGGGAGGCCGACTTCGGCGAGCCGAGGGCCTAAAGACCCGTCGAAAAAAAGGGGGGGGGGGGAATCGAGTTCAGCATAAATAGATAGATGTAGATAAGCCCCAAAAGCTTGAGCAAAGGAAAGAAGAGTCGAGAGAGAGAGAGAGAGAGGAGTTAGAAGAAGAGATTTGACCTGAGTGCCCAAGAGTTCGGTCCGAAGGAGATTGTTTTCCAAGTGACTAGCGACCAAGAACTGCGCCTTGAGTGCGGCTCTCTTGACGGCCTCATGATCGACCGAGTTACCGGTGGCGATTTGGCGGAGCTGTCGGAGAGCATTCTGGGCGACGGAGCGGGTCTGGTTGGCGGGGGCGGAGACGAGGAAGCCGAAGAGGGCGATGTCGGAGTAGCCGAGGTTGAAGGCTCTGACGGGCAGACCGGCAAGCGGGCCGGATCCGGCGGCCCATTTGATCGACGCCGGCTCGGAGCCTAGGAGGTGTTGGAGGACCGTGTATTCCGGGGCAGGGCTGCCCTTGAAGCCGATCACCAATCGGCCCGATCCCTCCTCCCCGCGCGTGATCCGGGCCTCCCCGCCATGGTAGCTCGACTTCGGACTGGGCGCAGATCCCTCCCCTGAAGAGCTCCCAAAGAACTGCTCAACTAGCTCCGTCAGTCTCCCCCCCTCGATCCCCGTCCCAACAATCGTCTGCTCCCGAGCCCGTCCAAATCTCTGGCGCCCATACTCCTCCATCGCTTCCTGACTCCCGCCCATCTTCGGATCCATCAGTAACGGGTTCCCCAGCCCTTGTCGAAACGCTACTTGATGCGCTTGCTCAAGCGCTACTATGCTTCCATCCGTTTGCGCTTGCTCGTATTCCGCTTGCGCGCCCGGTAAGGCTTCTTCGTGGAATTCGTGCCTTGTAAACTTCGAGCAACTGATCACATCTCCTAACACTTCCGCAAAATATCCTCTTCATATCATGATTACAATTTTTTTTTTTCATCAGTTGTTAAACATTCAATCAACTACACCTCCCCTTCTGAAAACATGATGGATAAAGAAACTGACTCGTTTCCTTTTAGGAACTCGGCACTGAGGATTAAATGTTCACGAGTGAGAGAGGAAGTGAGGATGCCACCGAGGAGTTCGGTCTCCCTGACCAAGCTAAGCGCGCTTCTTTTTTGGGTGGACTAGAGCAGAACCCAACGAGAGGGAATCAGCGAGAGAAGATCGTTCAGAGAGAGAGAGGGAGAGAGAGGGACGGACTTTGAAGACGGAGTTTTTGAGCAGATGGGCGAGGCCATGAGAGGGTTGATATCGACTGCCAGCCTTGATGAAGACGGAGATGGAGCCGGTGAGCTTGTTGTCAGCCGGAGTGGTGAGGACGGTTTGTGCGGTGGCCGCTTGGTTGGCAGTGATCGTTAAGGGAGCCGCGGCTTGATGGGCGTATGATCGGGCGGATCGAGCGAGGCTTGATCGGGTCGATAAGGAGAGCAACATTCTGTCCCTTTTCTTTTTGTCTGAGATTCGGATCCTGATGCTGATGCTGATGATGATGTGGTTGTGGTGGTTTGCTGTTTTTTCTGAAAGTCGAGCGGAGGGATGGGGGGGTGGGTCAGGTTCACCCAGCCTGTCACAGCTCTTTCCCCCCACCTGTCACCTCCTCCATCCCCTCCCTGTCTGTAACCGTTCCGACCTATGACATAACTCGCATACTCCTGACGCGATCGGGCTCAACCCGGAAGAACTCGCATCATCACAAAAAACCAGCTGTGACTTTCCAAGAATCGAGAACGGCATGATCTCCCTGGAGTCTGGACACACACATCCGTCCACCGATATCAATTCTTCTTTTGTTTTCTTGCTTGCTGGTCAACAAGAGAGTACCCCATCATCGGCCTTACCCAGCTTCCATCTTCCAAAAATATGCAAGTCTGTCTGTCTTGTATATAAACAATTTTTTTTTTATAGATTTGATTTTTTTATAAAAGAAAAGAAAAATTAAATAGCAAAAAAGAAAGAAAAACAACCAACCAAAAAAAAAAAAAATGAATGAATGTAAATGTAAATGTAAATGAGATGGAAAGAAAAAAAGATCCAAACCAATCAAAAAAAAAAGAGAGAAAGAGAAAGAGAGAGAGGAATGTCAAAAAACAAAAAAGTGGATAACAGGCTCAAAAATGTCTTCGAAGGGGAACAACCAAAAAAGAATAAACCGATAATAATAGTAAGAAAAAGAAAAGAAAAAGACCAAGCTTGATTGTGGCAAGGATTTCCAGAAAGAGAGAGGAGACCCGAACGAGAGAAGCAGGCCAGACGGACACTCTTCAGCGGGCCAGTCTCCTCCTCCTCCTCCTCTTCTTTTATTCTTTGATTTGTGGCCCCTCATAACCAAGCTCGGATACACACACCAACACACACATATATATATATAGATAAGCATAACACTGTTTATATATGATCCCCCTGAAAAGAGGGAAGCAGGCAGAGAAGAACCAAACAGAGTAAAGCGTGTGAAAGAAAAAAAAAAAAAAACAGTCGACAAGACTGATGATAGACCGACAGAAATAACTTGGGGTATTGGAAGGGGGGGGGGAAAGAGAGAAAGATGTGTAAAAGGAAAGAAAGAGAGAGAGATCGCAAAGTAAAGACAGAGATTGCTCAATAGATGATACAGTGCGAATGAGGCAGGAAGCAGCACAACAAGAAGACACAAACAAAGCAAGAGGAGGAGACACGAGATCAACCCCAGACCCAGGGGGCGCCGATGGGGAACCCATTAGTAGAACCAGAAGAGAGATCGTTCGAGCCCAGTTGCGGGAACGAAGCAGCTTGACCCGGAGGGAGCAGGTTCGAGCCATTGATGAGCCCATGACGGGGCAGACTGGAGAGCGTCGATTGCGCGGAGCCGAAGAGGTCTTGATGATGATGGGCCAGACCGCTAGTACTGCTGGGGTCGGGGTTGTAGGCGGACTGGACGAACCCGGCCAAGGCGCTGGATGGCGAGGAAGACTGCTGGACGCTTGACGGATGATGATGAGCGGCTTCGAAAGGCTCGATTGGAAGCGGGACTTCCGTAGAGACGATCGGATTATTACCCCCATTCATCTCCACTTGCCCACCACCACCACCAGGGTTGAGTTGGTCAACAGAGGCCCGGACGAGCGACTTACGCGGCCCACCAAATGGGCCAGTAGCAGCACTAGGGTAATCAACTCCAGAGGCGCTCTTGTCACTGCCATCCGAGCTACCAGAGCTCGAGAAGTATCGCAGACGGTTGGGCGAGCTACTCGCGGTACTCAACGGACCTTCCGGCTCGGATAAGCTCTGGAAGGGTGAGCCCGAATCCGCGTGGAGCGAGAGTCCGGGAAGATAGACCGAGGTAGAGACTTTCTCATCGACGGCTGCTTGAATCGACCCAAAGGATTGAGAGCTCAAGGCTTTCTTACTTTCCTCGAGCGTTCGTTCGACTCCTTCATTAGACTCGTACATGCTCCTCGGTGACAGATAACCTTGAGCCATCGAAGGCTGTCGGACTGAGAACGGACCGGCCGCTGGTTGACGGCTCATCGCCGATTGTGTCGGGGGGGATGACTGTCCTTCAGCAGGATTCGATCCAGGTAGAGTTTGGTACTTCGAGCTAATGCTATTGGAGCGTTGAGTCATTAATGGTTGCTGGGATGGCAAAGAGTACGGGCCGGAGGAACTGAAGTTGCGAGTAGTCTCAAGCCCGGTGGTGGCTCCAGTTGGATGGACGCCAGCCAAACCGTAGGAGACTTGCTGGGTCTGTGGCATCAATAAGCGGGTCGGTGGCAATGGTTCCATCTGAAGTTGGGCTCTTAATTCATTGATCTGGTTGCGAAGAAAGGCGTTCTCGCGTGCTAATTCATATTCACGGACCTGTGGACGTATGAGGGAAAAGAAACGTGTGAGGGGGTAAGCAAATGATTGAGGAAAGATGTATGGATTATTCTCACTAACCTGAGATTCACAGATCCATTCTAAGCTTTTGTTGACAATGACACTTTTACTGGGACGTTTGACGCTCTGCATGGTGGGTAATGCACGAGCAAGCTCGAGGAATCGGCCGTTCAAAGACTCTCGACGGGCGCGTTCGATGGCGTTGTGAGTAGCTCGTCTCTCGGCGGTAGTGGCTTTCAATTTCGAGCCTTGGCCACCGGAATTCTTGGCCTCATTTCTAGCGTATGGGTGATAATTCGATCGGGCCTTGGAATCAGTAGGATTGGATTGGAAACATCCATCGAGCGCATCATCTTCCCCGAGATCTTCTTCATCCGCAAGCCCAGTGGGTTGCTGCGGGTTCTCAGGCAAAGGAGCTGTCTGAGTGTCTCCTAAGCGGAAACATGGTGGGGAGGAGCATCCGGAGGAGTTTTCCGAGGTGCTAGGGGCCGAAGTGGGTTGGTTATTCATAAAGTTAGAAAAACCATTATAGGCGGACATTGCTAAATAATGACTAGACATGGTAGAAATCTGATCATCAGGCAAAGAAATCACCGGGTATTGTTAGTAAAGTGACATTTTTTTTCGGTTTGACAAAGAGGAAACTCACATTGACTGGCCAAAAGGGAGGATAGCTTTTCAAGAAAGGAGGCTCAAATGATGGGAGGCTCGATAATGATAAAGATAAACAGATAGAAAGCAAAACAAATCACAACGACGCGATAGGGAGAAGAAATAGCGGGGCAGGTAAGAGTGAGTGAGATTGGGTTGACGGCCAGCAGTGGTTAAGATAAATAACCAGCGTCCAGTCAGAGTGGGAAGCGGAGGAGTGAGGGTAGGATGGGGTATGAAGGTAAGATAGTTGTAGGGCGGTTAGCAATGGTAAGTGTTGAGCTGGCTTGGGGAAGTTTGCTTTGAAGGCTTGAGAGGTCGAATAGTCGCGAGAGAGAACGGTGGGTCGCGAGACTGATTTTTGAGGGGCAAAAATTGTTGTGTTTAAATGTGATGAGGGCGAAAAGGGTGAAGGAGATAAAAAGAAAATCAGAATCAAGCCAGATTAGTTCCATCGAGTAAAAAAATAAAAAAGAGAAAGCTTTTGGTGGCTGAACCGGATGGGGAGATCATAAAAAGTTAAGGGACAAGAGAAGAAAGTTGTTGTGAGAAGATGGAAAGTGTGAGGTGAAGATGATATGATGGGAAGTGGGAATGGATAGATCAGAAGGTTTGCTGAGATTTACACGGGACATGGAAGATGCAAGGAGAGCGCCAGACGCGTTGGTCAACAGGCTGGTTGTTGGTGCCAAGAAGAAGGTTTGACAGCATGGCCAAGCCGGGGAGAGCTGGGGGAGCAAGCCATTCTGACTCTCTCTCTCTCTCATCAGGGTGCGGCGGAGAACCATTGTTAATTTGGACAGAAATTAGCCAAGGTTTGGTTGGGGATGGATAGAGGGCACAGAGATCACACGGATGTGAGTTGCTGGTGAGTGGGGGCTATTCAGGATGCATAGATTATTAACGGGTTGATAATCGTCCCTTGTGAGTTTCTGATTTACGATGGGAAGGAATGTCGAGGGGATTCAGCAAGCAGGCTCAAGCTTCTTCAGAGGTCTCTGGCGGAGAGAAGAGCCAGAGAGATCATCCAGATCCATGTCGATGGGCATGTATTTTTGGGTTGAAATTGAGGATGGGAGATGAGTTTAAAGGATTCGAGAGTGTAAGTCGGAGAATTTGTTGAGATTCCGGCGCGGGGAGATAATTATGATTAGGTTGTGATTGGATGGAAGGGGAGTGGGAAGACGGAAGCTGGGCGAAAAGCCTCAAGGGCGCAACACGGAGGGTAATTTCGGTGGCAATCTTCATTCTCCTTCAGTCTCCATCCACCATTTCCCTGGTCAGAGAGATAGAAAAACAATCTGAACTGGCTGGGGTGATGGATGTGTGTGTGTGTGTGTGTGGCTTCGAGGTTGGAGGGTTGATGGATGGATGGATGGGTGAGCACGAGTCGGGTGCGATATTCAGTAGCTTGGTCGGTTTTTGAGTGATGCTCTGTTGAGTTGAGGCTGCTGAAGTGACTGAAATCATCAAAAGAACCAGCAAGGAAAACATAGTCTTCTTGATCTCGATGGCAAACTGCCTCCCCAATAGGAGTGAACTTAAAACAAGAGGCGCGGTTTGTTTTGGTTGGAGTTGAGAGGAATGAGACAATAATAATAATAATAGACTTCGATCAGAGTGGAAGGAGGGGGGGGGGAGTTTGCGATGGTTGTCATATAGTGCTGAGTTGATCGGAGTCTTGTTGGATTCTTGTTGGGCTCGATCGGATAGATGATAAGACCAACAGAGCTGCTTGAATGAAATGGCTCGAGAGACATAAAAAAAAAAAAGGTTCCCACACTCTTTCTTTCTTTTTTTCTCTCTCTCTCTATGTGTGTGTGTGTGTGTCTCTTTTTCGATCGATTGACGATCAAACGGACAGATTTAAATATGTATCATCCACCGGAGACTTGGAGAGCCGATCGACAGACATACTCAGGCCAAGGGCAGCAGCCCAGATGAGGGAGAGAGAGGGACAGCCAAGGCGGATGATGATGATGATGATCAGAGCCAGAGGATATGATATTGCCCAGAGGAAGAGTGAGGGTGGCGGAGAGAGAGAGCAGAAGGAGAAGGGACGAAGGAAAGAAAGCAAGCCGAGGAAAGATGATCACTGACCGAATCTCAAGCGTGCCCGAACCGGAAGGGGAGAGGGGAGAGAGGGAAAGCGGGGAGGGTCGCGAGACGGATCTCAAGCGTACCAATGGAGGAGAGTGTGGAAGGATGAAGGGATGGGGGAGAAGAGAAGGGGAAGGGGAAACAGAAGAGGGGGGGGGCGAGCGAGACTGGGTAATATATCCATCGCCAGTCCACACACACACACACACACACACACACATCCTTCTTCTTCTTCTTCCTACAGCCAGCCTAAAGTTCCAAGTTCCAAACCCAAAAACAATTAAAAAAAAAAGGGGCTGTCAATTTTGGATGTCCCCCCCCCTCCCCTCTACAACATACCCAGTAGCCTCAAATCGAGAAAGAAAAAAAGACGCACTTAAAAGATTTAACTGTACACTCAAACTCCTCCACTCACACTCCTCATAACACCATACATCCCATATCAATTACTTTACTTATCTACAGCTTCTTCTTCCCCCATCGTCACTTTCCACTCGTCCACAACAACAACAACAACCGACCCATCCACCAGAACAATCGTCATCTTTTGTCTTCTGCTCTCTTGAATTGTACAGCCACAGTCTGGCGATGACTGAGCGATTTGAGTTCGATGTTGTGTGTGCAGTGTATATACGATGACTTGTATGTATGTAGTCCATACCTTGTACTTTCCTCGAAGATCATCAGAAACTCTTGACATCGATTATTGTAAAGGCTGTAAATTTGTGTAAACAATCGAAACTTGAGACTGTTTTTTTTGTAGTGTAGTTTTAATAATACAAAAGCCCGTTGATATCCTCAACAAGTTTTGCTAGCCTCACGATCGATCTCCGAAACAAACTCTTTACTGGCTCCAAACGAGGACCAAAAAAAAGAAAGTTGACGGTCTGGATCGGTGGGTGCACCGTCGGGACTGGCTTCCGGGAGTACATGAATACGTATCCACAGTCTCGAAAGACACCCTTCACTCCATCATCATATCATCACCTTTCGCCAGATATGTACAACAATCTTTTAACAATCAGTGGTGGGAATGCTGACCAAGTCCATATCACAACAAACTATGTACATAGATACACAGATTAAATTGAACTGAATCGTAAATTCCTCTAAATACATACATCATCATCATCATCATCATCATCATCGGTATATGTAAGCCCATAATTGGCTCGATGACAGAGCCAAGCCTTTGAAGTGTCTGGACTATGATCTTGTAGTGTATCTACTGGGGAGTGACAGTGATGAGGCGGCCGGGGTCGTCGGCGAGTGCGGAGAAGATCTGGACTCTATGTACATTGTAGAGCTAAATATGTAAATGTAGATAATTGGGATCTGGCCGATGGATGTCGACGATGATGGAGATTGCCGATGGTAGATATTATATATTGAGGGTGTTTGTTAACAAAACACAGGAGAGACAGTTTGGAAACATCTCACTTGGACATTGTGTGCGCGCAAGCGCAAGCGGTCGGATGGCCAGACTGATCTCTCTGCTCTCTTGTCAGTCGCCGAACAAGAATGGCCGATGATCGAAATGTCCAGACATGCCAATCCTCCACTGATCACATATTTACATGGCAAGAAAAAACGGATCAAGAATAAGCCGAGCGGATCGGAGGCGGGGGGGGGGTTGACTTGGCCATGGAGGATATTGCTACGACGGTGACGTCTGCGGCGGGGGGAGGAGTACAGATGTGATTTTGGATCGCAGAGTACACTTGGATGTGGAAGGAGGCAGTGATCCGCCCCGGACATGATACATCGTCAGCGTCTGGTCCAAGGCTCTCTCTCTCTCGGGAGCCACTAGCCAGGCCACATGGGGCCAGCGCCGGCCTGACACGCCGCCGACGTTATGGACGCTGCAATAATCGCGCAAGTATGTGGAGTGGCGAGGAGGATTCCGGACATCCAAATGGGAGCTGTTGTTATGGAAAGCGCAAGGGAAGGATGAGCTACACGCAACATGATGATGTTGTGTAAAAGGACGTGCGGAGAGATAAGCATGAGGGATGGATGCGAGTGTGTAGTCGTGTGGACTGGTGGCGACGATCGGGAGGCTTAAAGTGATGTGAATCAGAGTGTGTGTGCTCACATTTGAGATGGCGATGGTGAAGGGTGTGTGTGTGTGTGTTGAGCACCGCCGGACGCCATGGGTGTGCGGATCCATGGGGTGATCATACCATACAACTGTACTGCCAGACGCGCGGATTACTACAAAAAAAGACGGTTATCAAAAGAGCAGCCGTCCTTTCTTGTTGTACCAGTTTCTTGTCCACATTCTCGTCTCCCGAAAGACGTATTTTAAATGGGTACAAGATCGCATGGTAAATAAGTGTAGCTTGTGATATGTCCCCGATGTTGATCACTGTTCTGTCGGATCGAATATGTGTGTAAAGGATGATGGATGAGGAGAAGAAGAAGGTCTCCGGGCTTGATCGCACAGCCTGGAAGAAGAGGGCCCCAGACACACGCTGTCGGGGCGATGGATGGGTGTAGAAGGCTTTCCCAGAGACAGAGTGCAATTTAAATGAAGATTGTAGAGGCTTATCAGCAGAACAAGTGAAGAAGGCTGACGAGGATCACTAAAATTAAAAAGCCAGAGATCGATGATCGGATCGAGTACCTTCGACTGGGCATCCAAGAGCCACGCCGGATGGCAGCAGCAGCCCGGGGTCCGACGGCTCGGCTTCCATCCCTCGGTCGGAGCTCCCCTTCTGCGTAAGCGTTCATCCCCTCTCCCGACCTCTCCCTAACAACTCTGAACATTCCTATTCATCGGCTTCTCTCTCTCTCTGAATCTCAGCTCGATGCCATTCATTCGTAGACATTCAACTTCTGACTAATAATGATCAGTTCCATCTCCCTATTTCCCACCCAATCGTCAGTCGGCTTTTGTTTTCTGCTTTGGAGTAGATTCATAAATAAACGAAAAGACAGGTTGATTCTTCGGAAGGTCTTTAATATCTATAACAAGAGCATGAAAGCCGTCCGGGATGGCTGCTTGTCTCATAGACTGACGAGTGTTTCCTTGGAGCATCTTACCAAGGTGCCTTGCTTGAGTGCCCCATGAACGGCAGTCACCCCGGCCGGGCGCTAGGCGATCCGTGGGATCGGCCAGATCTGTTCATTGACAGTCCCCTTTTCCTGCGATCCATTTCCTCCATTTCTGGATGCCCCCCGGCCGACGCTGTTTTCGACGGACAGATTGCGCATCGAGTTGGCAAGCCTCAGCAGCCGCGCTCTTGCAGCAACCGTTGAAAGCTGGTGCTGATCGGATGCTTTTGTCCATGTTTTTTTTTTTTTTTTGTATGTAGGCCGACACGGTGCCGGCTTCAGTTCCCGTCCCTGTCTGGGAACGCCGATGGATTTATGTAGGAGAGCCATCGACAAGGCTTATGATTTATGGACGACCCCCTAGCTAGCTTTAATATTTCTGTAGTCTAATCTTATGGAAAATATGATCAATCCTAATGGTTTTTTTTGTTTTTTGTTTTTGATGGTGTGGACTGCATGTGTAAAGGTGTCTTTTTCCGGTTTTCTTTAGCTTGGTTGGGAACCGCTAAAAAAATGGGATGAATCATGCCATATGGACACACAAGCTTCTTCCTAACGGTACGAAGCTGGTACATAGGTAAATAGACAGATCTGCTCGCCTCAAAGTTGACACCAAACTCAGCTCCTTGGCCGTCGGGGGTATTCAAAGCACACTCGACTTCCGGCTAACCGGCTAAACTTTGATAGACCTATTCCAGCTAAGAGAGTCGAGATTCATGAAATTTCCGGATGTCTAATTTTTGGTTCCTTGCCGGAATATGACTTCCTCTTTCTCTTTGGTAACTGATAGAAATGAATTCTGAAGATCATGCATGGGCTATGGCCCCCTCCTTCCTTCATTCCTCCTTTCGAGGATCAAAATCATGACAATCGCACTTCGACTGCATTGAAGAGGTAGCGGGCTCCGCCCATTTCAGCGGGGATGGGATGAGGTGGGACTAGGGCACATATCATTGGGCCACGACGAATGCTGGGTTGGTCAGAGTTGTGTGATCAGCTCAGCCTCAGGTCACCCCAGGTTATATTTGAAGGTAGCAAGAAATGGCTCGTCACTTTGCCTGGAGAGTTTCTAAGCAAGCGTTCACGACTTGGGTTGGCATTCCACGGGTGGAAATCTTTTTCTCCACTCCGTCAAGCTGAGGGGGACATGTGTGCCAATGTTACAACTTCAACACCAGGATCGCTTATTCCCTAGCCCCTCTTGACAGTGACACTGATGGCGGTTGTTGCTGAAGCTCAAGTCCTTGGCTCACTAGGAAATGATCAAAGGCATGGCACAAGAACATGACGCGGGCTCTGAGCTTTGTCAGCATGGCCAAAGTTGTAGTTGCCTCTGCCAAACTGCTTGACCCTGCTTGACCTTCTCGACGAGTAACAAAAATGGGAGATGCAGAGTAAGCTTTATATCACCCCTTGTCCCCAATTTTTACTCTCTTTCGTCAAACTTTCCAACTCAAGTTTGTTTCGTTTTTTTTTTTCAATTCTCAGATCGGGAAGTTCAAAAGATTTTGAATCATCACATCCAGAAACCTGTAAATATTTCAATCGTATTCGTTGTCCATTCTTACCCTCAAAAGGGACTCACATTCTACACCAGCAACCCGGCAATCATCATGAAGTTTTTAGTTTTGTTGGTCTCCATCCCGGCCCTCGTCTCGAGCATGCACATCGATAATTCCGCTGGTCTTGATGGAGGGAATGCAAAGTCGAGTTCCCGAGAGTCGACGAGGCCACAGATCAGAGCACCCAATGCTGCTCGAAGTACCGGCATGGCGAATCCTCACTCCACCAGTCTGACGAAGATCGGCTCGAGTGAGCCTTCGACTGAGAGCCCGAGAACCCTGAAACTTGCCAGCAAAAGTACTCAAGATGGACAAACGACGTCGCCACTTCCAATCCCATCCAATCAAGCTGAGACGAGCTCGAGCAAGTCAGCCGGCTCGAAGTCCCGACTGAGAAGACACATCAGCGACTCCAGGGCGTTCGAATCTTACCTCATCCACAAGCGGGCCGATAAAGTACCGGCCAAGAATTTGTTGAGGACGTTCATCGATGATATCAACCCTAGCCCTGGATCAAAGCCCGCTGGACCTACGACAGCAGGACCATCAGCTCCAGACTCTTCACCATCTGGATCATCATCAGCAGCAGTAGGATCAAAACCAACACAAGCCGTCTCGACTGCCAAACCACCCCCCTCAAAGTCAACCAAGACCTCTTAAAAAAATCTCACTATTAACATGCCATGTCTATATATCTTCAAGAAAAAAAAAACAAACCAAAAAAAAAGGCTGGATCTTCTCGTCTGTATATGCACTTTATTTATTACAAGAATTTCTCGCTGTTCTGCAAGCGCTTCTAGCAATCCGGCCAAGATCAAAGGATCCAGGATATCTCTTACACTTTCGCCCCAGATTTCTTGCAATTATTCTTGCATCTCTTCATCCATCCATTCATCCATCTATATCTCAGATTTTACGAGCTTCTCTGGGTTAACTTCAGCTGTTGTACATACCTACAATCTTGTGTAATTACTATTAATATCATGTGTTCTTTGTTCATTTGTGTTTTCTTTTTTCTTGCAGTTTATTTACTTGACTGGTTTAAGTTTTCCACAAAAAAAGAAAAACAAAGTGGAAACTTGAACAACAAGAAATAATGATCACATATTTTGATAGCAATCCACAGTATTGGGCAAGTATTGAACTGGCAGGAACCCATGGGCATGCAGGTTTAACATTGTATATTCGGATTTAGAGAGGGACGACGTGTTTTGAATCGAAGCAGTCAATGCACTAGATATTCTGCTTCTGCCGGCCCATTTTTGCACTCCTCAAAACTTGCAATGGAATGAGCCTAAAGCTGAGATAAAAATGTGTCCAGAGGTACCTGTTTTATTTGGAGGTAGTAGTAAAACAGGAATGTGCTGTTGGTTGATTGATCAGGACGTATGGACGTCGATGTCATCGTTGAGCTTGGTTGGACATCCGACCAGCCGTCCGGGTCAGCAAGACGTCTCCCGCGTTAAAAGGGCCACAGGCACAGCTGCTTGTGCTGTCGATTTTCGATCTTCCCCATATGTACTTGGTTGGCTCACAATCTCAACTGGAACCAATCTCAACACCATTCTTCGGTGTAAAACTAACATTAGCCTACTGGACGGACAACTTACACGTAACACGAATTTCAAACGATCAAAATTGTGAGTTCATTAACGATCTGTTTCGGTTTGAAGTTTACAACAACACTGATGGACCCGTTGAGGCATTAACATCAGAACTGTCAATAGGTTTCTGTTTACTTGTACTTCAGATAACTCTCCAGGAGCCTCACTCGATCAATTACGCCCCAATCTAGCTCTGCTATCACCTCGATCGTCGTCTTGAGGAATTTATCGCGCGAGAAATGGAATCTGAACTTTCGGAGTCGCATCTTTATCAAGCTTTTCTCGAATCTTTTGACGTTGTAACTCGAAACCCGGCCGACCAAAATCTTTGGGGAACAGCCACTACCTTAGGACTCAAGTGGTTAATTGTTCGCGTACAATCAGACCTAGAACCGCTCGGTCCAAATTCTGGTTATGGTCACCTGTTTTGCGATAAAGGATTACGTGCAGGTCAACTTAAAGATGGCAGAGAATCTCTGACAGTTGATGCAATTCGGATCCACGAAATTCGCGCATTTTTACTGAGGTTAATTAGCTTCAAGCCCTTAGGCATCGTCCAGACATGGCGGGAAAATTGGGAAGCCTGTATCACCGGCTGTCTGGATTGTGCAGCAGGACATGATGCTTCCCTCAGCCAACTTGCAGAAAAGTTCGTACCACTTTTATCCATCCTGGTGGCCTCATTACACGACATAAAAACAAAAGCAAAAGCTGATGCTAATGCACCTCTTTCATCTCAGATGGCTCTTCAAATTTTACACGACCGAACAGGCCAGTACATTCATCAACTCAGTCCGTAATCTCATCATCTCTTTGGGCCAACCCATCCTCGAAGGCGCCATTCAGCCCCAGTCTGATCCGTCTCATGGCTTGTCGGTTTCTCCGACATTCGGTCCAATCCTGTCTACTTTCTTATCACATCCAGAAATGTTAACCGATCCCAAAATATGGCCGGCTGTCTCACAACTTATGGCGAACCAATTGACCCGTGGCCCAATTCAAACCCTCCACCACGAGCTCTGCTTGCCTGGATGGATCTTACTCACTATGAACGACAACTCAGATTGTGCAGCTTTTGCAAGGCGGCAATTGGACTATTTGGCATCGCTAGGTTCCACATCCCACACTCTTTCAGGTCCGAATCAAGCTATGAAGGCAGTGATGACTGAGGTCTCCAAGATTCTCAACCGCGGTCACGTGAATTCATCGACAGGAAACCAGTTGAACTTGCTTCAAAATCTGGTCATCCATCCAACCCGTGAAAGCAGCTGGCTCGGGTTGACTTCCATCTTACCAGCGTTACTCTCTTTCTCTCCACGCTCATCCAACCACGTGGGATCCTCGCTCTTTGGCATACCCAAGCTAATTCTCGACCACATCACCGATTCTGGAGAGCACCTTCCAAAGGTCTATTCTTGCTGGGGTATACTACTGCGTCAGTTGGGGTCTTCCTTCTGGACGATGGCAGAAGAAGCGTCAGATAAACCGGCAACTTTGGACATCGTCCTCGTACCATCACCTGCCAAAGCTCTTCGGAAAGTATTAGAACGCGATGACTTTGTTTCCAATATGGCTTCCCCAGATTTTATCACACAGTGCCTCGACTGGCTTCTCCCTTTCATCCAATCCGTGACCGACTCAAACCAATTCTCAACCAGCACTTTCGACGTCCTCCAAAACATTTTGGCAGACAAGCTCCAACGATCCCCATACGACGTGACTGTGCGCGTTCGAGCCGCGACCCTGATTTTGGCAATCTGGCAGCATCTCAACGCCCCCAAGGCGAATTCCAATGATATAATCTTCAATCCTCACGACAAGTCACCCAACTCGCCCCCAGAGATCCCAATAGCCCGCACCCGGGACCAGCAATTTCTACGCGTCTTGGTTCCATTTATCATCGATCTAGCGTATGAGAGCCGGCATAAGATAGGCCAGTGGGCGAAAGTCCAACCTCAAGCCCAACAGATCATTGAACAGATAGCGTTTCATGAATCCGAGAACCTGTCTACTGCTCTGCGTGAGCTTAGTGGGACTACATCGAAGACCAACAAGGATGTGTTAAAATCGGTTGACGCCTCACATCTCAACATATGTATTTCCAAACCAGTTTGGATTAAGATTTACAAAATTTCTAATGATTATTCGGAATCGAATCAGTACCTCATGAAGGTGTATTCCCTCCTCATACGTTCCTTGTCTCACTGCGCCCACATCGACCACCTTGCCAATATCTCGTGGCTCCCTCCGGGAAGGCCTACAAACCATTTGATTGAACCTACTATTACCGCGCTGAACAATGCAGTCTTAACCATCCGAGCCCCATTAGTCGATGCTCTGATTGATCTCTCTGGTTCCACTTATGGTTCACAACTCCTTGCAACATTGCTGAAAGAGACTTCGATCATCAAAGCTGTCATTCCTCTAATCTTTTCGCCTAACGATGGCCTGCACACCTCATCACTGGCCTTAGTCCGACAGTGGTCCGATTGCACGTCTCGTCTCGATTGCTTACGCGCTTTGTTATCGAAGGGTCAACGGGCTGCATTCGAAGGCCTTGTAGGTGCCTTAAAGAAAGTTGATCTACATTCAAAAATTCTACCCGATGCTATGAGCTTGGCTCGGCGCTTTGTGAGATGCATGACCGACGTCATTAGCATCTTTTGCTCACCCACTGATGGATTGTTGAGAGATCAGGCTTACGTCCAATCCTTGAACACCTCCGAGATTGTCGAGTTTTGGAATTTGATGTGCTCTTCCGTCTCGAACATCTTCGATAGGACTCCTCATTGGGCCGAATTCTGGCAAGCATCTGAAATGACCGAATGGATGCGAGATGCACTAATGTTTACTGAACAGTTGGTGAAGACATTTCAGATTTTCGAATCGGCAGCATTCGGTCGACTTGATGATGAAAAAGTGGTTGAAAATGAAAGTCTTCGATCCAAAATGTTGGATTCGTTTGTAACGCCGACGGAGGCGTTAGTTTCTTGGCTCCGACTGAATGATCCTGATCTTCTTGATCGCAGTACCGGAGTGATAGTCCAGATGTTGGAGAAGATTGGCAAGTTTAGAAGGCCCCTCAACCCGTCGGTTGTAGACAGATTAGCGAGATACATTGAACCAACACCAAGAACCACCATTATCTTGACTGAACAACAGCGAGTCTATCTCAAGAACGCCCTGGCCACGCACCCTGATTTGGCCGCCCGTTTCGCGACTATCATCGACGATGAAGACGAAATCGAAATCGCAGAACCAGGCGGTGATACTGTTAGCTCATTACCCAATGATCGCAGTGGGAAAGATGTGACTCAAACTTCCCAATGGGCCAATATCTTTCCTCAGATCAAGTCATCCGCTGGACCCTCCATCCATCAAAACCAGAAATCCGTGCCACTTGGGTCGTCAAAGTCTCGCGACACGGATCAACCGAAGTTGAAGGTGTCTTACTCCAGTTCCTCGGCTAAACCGACGCTGGCTAGCAAACCAGCGCCCAAAAGAAGTTATGGACATGATAGTGTGATCGGCAATCTGCGGAAAGAAATGAAGGCTTCTCGCCCGATGCTCAACATAGCTCGTGCACCACACATGCGCCCAGGCCATGCCCCACATTCGGCTGCCATGCCAAATCAATACACTTCCGAAAAACCTCTGAAGGGCATCTCAGGTCCCAACTTTCGCCAATCGCCGATGAAGAACTTCCAAAACAACCAGTCAAATCAGTTGCACCAAGTCTCCGATGATGGCTCGGAAGATGAATCCGAAGAAGATGTTCAACAGACGACAGGCCTGGCCGGGCTGGTTAAAGCTCAGAAAGGCAAGACATTTCAATCTCGTAAACTCGCTGAACCACGTCGGACGATCAAGATGTTTAACGATCCAGTGATGGAAAAACAAAAGAAAGAAGCTCAGGCCAGACGCGAACATCAGAACATTCTCAAGTTGCAAAAATTGCGGATGCAGCCAGACTTCACCGATCTGCATCGATACATCTTGCAGTGGGATTATAATCACACTGGACCCTGTCCCCCGAACGCGCCCACGAGATATAATCACCTTCCACCGTCATTCGGCAGCTTTTCCCATTACTTGTCATGCACGGAACCCCTGTTGATGTGTGAGACTTGGCAGCAAATTTCACAAGCGAAAGAATCAGTACTTTCTGGAGAGAAGGCTCCGATTCCAATCGAGATAGTCGGGAGAACATCTGTTGATGATTTTATAGAGATCTATACAACCGTCAAACATGGCCTGTTACCTGAGCGGACGTATTTCAGTGAAGCAGACTTGGTCCTCGTACGATCCAACGACCCACAGTCACCTTCTCGATGCATTATGGCGAAAGTGATTAGCCTATCAAGAAAGCATGAATGGTTTGAGTTGAATTTGAGGATGCATTTCGGTAGTGCCAGGCAAGATATAAGCGGGCATATGGTTCCCAAAACCAAATGGAGTGTCCTACACTTATGTAGGTAAGTTACAGTTTTTTTTTTTTTTGACTTGGCGCATGTTTCCACTGGGAAAAAAAAACGTGCCCGTTCCTTTTTTTTGTTCTGTAAGGTTGATATTTCGACCCCAGTTTGAGCACCACTCATCGAGAATGGGCTGCCTTGCGGTCTTTACCATATCTCACTTTAGGTGACGACATCCTCCGGGCACATGCCACGCCACCTGCGCCGATCGCCGAAGAGCACCTCACCAAGGTGATGAAATGTCAAAAAGTTAACGAGCCGCAAGGTCGTGCTATCATCAGTGCTCTTGCTACACCAGGATTCTCGCTGATACAAGGGTGCGACACGCGAGTTACACACGCAAAGTTTTTGATGATTTGTGCTTGCTAAACTCCCCTCTCATTTGCATACTCTTTGGTTTATGTGCAGACCCCCCGGAACGGGAAAAACAAGCACAATTGTTGGACTGATCGGTGCATTCATCGCCAGTCGCCCGAAAGTAGGCGACCCCGCAGGCGGAGGAAAACAACCCTCGATTACACGAAAGATCCTACTCTGTGCCCCGAGTAATGCTGCGGTTGACGAAGTGGCCAAGCGATTAAAAGAAGGCGTTCGAGGTGCCCAGGGCGAGTTGATTATACCCAAGCTAGTGCGGATCGGAGCAGACTCGAAGGTGAATCTGGCAGTCAAGGATATCTTCATCGATGAATTGGTTGCGGCCATGAGCAAAGATGCAGAGCCGGGCAAGGCGGCCGAAACAGTCGCCGGAGCGGCCGGAGCGATCCAAGACCTGCGACAGCAACTTTCCGAATTACGAGACACTCGAGATTCCAAACAGATGGAGGCCGAGCGACTGCCCACTGAGTCACCCCAGTATCGGACTTTGCAAGAGGAAGTCACTAGGATCAGAAGGAAGATACACGAGCTTTCGGCTAAAATCGACCAGGCCCGTGATCAACAGGATGCCTCAAAACGATACTTGGATGCAGCCACACGGAAATTGAGGATGCAAATCTTGCAAGATGCGGATGTTGTCTGCTCAACCCTTTCCGGCTCCGGTCATGACTACATGTCTCAGTTGCCATTCGATTTCGAAACTGTGGTGATTGATGAGGCTTGTCAATGTGTCGAGCCTGCTTCTCTGATCCCTCTTCGGTATAATGCGACACAATGTATACTGGTTGGAGGTATGTGTTCTCCAATTTTTATCAACTGGGCTAAAGAATTCAGGCTCATTATGATTTCCCATTGGGAATATCTCTGGTTTGGAAAAAAGATCCAATGCAGTTACCTCCAACGGTGCTCTCTCAGACAGCCAGCCAGGCTGGGTACGACCAGAGTTTATTCGTGCGGATGCAACGAAATGCTCCTGATGTGGCGCACCTGTTGAGGTACGAAAAAAAAAGAATGTGGATTTGTTCTGTAAAATCAATTCTAACCTTTGTCTATTTTCTTTTTCAGTATCCAATATCGAATGCATCCTTCTATCAGCACCTTTCCCAGCAAGGCCTTCTATGATTCCAAATTGCTTGATGGGCCTGAGATGGAATCAAAAGCGGTTCAACCATGGCATCAGTCCGGCTCTTTGTTCCCTCCCTATGCCTTCTATCATCCGGTTGGAGCCAGAGAAGAACGAGGGGCGCACCATTCATTGATGAACCGGACGGAAGCTTCCTTAGCAGTCTCGATCTATTGGAGGATAGCGAATGACTATCCGCACATCGATTTTGCTTATCGAGTGGGGATCATTACTGGGTATGCAGCCCAAGTGGGCGAAATTCGTCGACAGCTTCGGGCCAAATTTCCGGCTAGTACTGTTGCGGCCATCGATGTCAATACGGTCGATGGCTTCCAAGGTCAAGAGAAAGATATTATCATCTTGTCCTGTGTGCGAGGCGGAAGAGACGACAATAACTCTGGCGGGGGAATCGGGTTCTTGAAAGACATCCGCCGGATGAACGTCGCTCTGACTCGAGCTAAATCGTCCATGTTCATTATCGGTAATCGGGCCGTCTTGAGTCAGGATCCAACCTGGAAAGCGCTTGTGGAAGACGCCGCCGGACGATCGCTGATCAGTGAGGTCAATCGATTCCCGATCTTCTGATTGGCACCTTCAGGCTGGCTGACCATGCTTTCTTTTACCACTGAATGGAATTTTTTGTTTGCTTGTGTAGGTGACAAGCCAAACGTTTTACTCGACTTCATCAGCCCCGATTGTTTCGAGAGCCCGACAAACGAGCGACTCGGGAGGTATGAAGAAGCCAGCGGTAGGCGTGCTCATGACCCCCAAACAAGCCGCCGAGCAATCCCAAGTTCGGGGCGAGATTGCGAAGGCCAACCAGGGAGGCTTGAAGCGCAAGATCTCGGCCGACACCTCGGATCCGGTGGAAGACAAACGGAACAAAGCGACTATCGTCATTCCCGCTCATCAGACTCATAATAAGAACCTCCCTGACCCCGCAACACTTGGCCCTCAGACCGCCGCCCCCCTCCTTCAGTCCACTAACGTCCCCCTTGAAACTCTGCCACATACTACCCCCCTCGCTCGCCCTGGGCCTAGCGCTCCGCCCGTCCCACCTAAATCAGCATCCTTACCTGCCGTTAACAATCTGCAACCTCGACCCAAACCCGCGCCTTCACTATTCATCAAAAAACCTAAGGTAAAATACATCTCCCTCCGTTTTTTTGGGTTTAACTGGATTATTATTGAGGTTTTTTTTCTTTTGTAAATGATATTGATAATGAAACAAAAAAAAAACAGCGGCCGGAAGGCAATCCGATTCGTAGACCCAATCATCCTGCACCGACCAATCGTCCGATGGCCGTCGGCGAGGGTCATCGAAGCGTTCGGCAACAGTTGAAGGACCAGGCTAATGCAATCCAAAAACCCAACCATCGTTAGAGGACTATACATACACACCATCCACCAATACATCAATCATACTCTTACATAATCATCCATTAATGTTTTTGTAATTTAAATTCCTTGCTACATACAATCTAATCATTTCTTCGATCCAGGATCTCTTTTGTTTTTGAAGAACAAGCTAGTATATTATGTACATCGTTCTTTTTAGTTCACGTTGGAATTAGTGTTGCCCATGATCGAGGAGGAGATCGATTTAGAGAGCCGACCTGGATCACTCCGGGTTCATTGTAGGACTACATACACCAGGAGAAGGCTGATGGACCTGACAAAACCAAGTCCATCACGCCACCTGAAGGCGGCGGTGTCCAAGGTCATTAATCCGAGCCCTGCTCGTCCGTTTTAATCCAGCTGACGATGGAGGGGGCACTGCTTGCATCTGGCTCGGATGTGGATGGATGTATGGTGACTGGCTCTAGATGGATTCTTATGGAGTTGTCTGAAAGGAGTCATGGTCATAGTACAAGAGCGGTCTTGGGTGTTGGTGGACAGAGTGTCATAGTCTTCTAACAGGAGTCACCGCTACACTGATACCATACACACGATCAAGTCCGTCTGCCATGTCTCCAGTCGACATCGTCCGATCTCTCGTTCAGCTTCCTCCAGAAAAAAAGCTCAGGCTTTCTCCACACAAGTCTTGTGTTCTTGTGCTTGTGGCTCGTTTTGATCGCCCGTGTCTCCTGATCGTCCACCTCTTTTCTCTGATCCCTCGATGTCCAAGAGAAGGCATACAATCAGTCGTTCCGAGCTGCGATCTGAATCAAAAATCCATCCGCCAATTTCCAGGAATTCTTCTTCAGGGGGCTCTCATCAATGATCACGTTGTGCTTATGTAAGCCCAGCAAAACAGTGACATCATCATCTTAAAAAATAAGCCAATACTTTTCGATGTTGTAGCACCACTTCGACTTAAACTCACACACACCCGAGAACACTTGACCACAACAAATCATCATTCACAATTCTCAATAAAAACAACGCAAAAAGGTCGGTCTCAAAGCTCTTGTTTACTCATTCCCTTGAACATCATCACAATCACAGACGATCGAGCTGATCAGTGTTGATGGGTTTGGGTTTCTGTTGCCCAGACAGTTATCTTACTGAACAATCGTCCAGACGCAATATCGTAAAATGCCATCCACGCGGGATGAGGATTACCCCTTGATGGAGAACATGCCCCGCGCGAATCGATTCAGGTCTGCCATTTTTCAATCACTGGCAAAACATATCTGGTCGACCATCGCATTGACTTTTTTTTTGGTTTTGGTTTTGATCAAATTGAATACATAGGAACGTCACCTTGGGCCATTTGAAGAACTTCATTGGGGGCGATTACGGCTCTCAAAACTTGTCATCGGTGCTCTACGAAGGTCAGTCATATAAATCATCCCCTCGACAAATTAGATTCTTTCTTTTTTTTCTATGTATCAAACTCATGATTTTTGGATCTTCTTTCTCTGTGCGACGTGCGTCTTTCTCCATACATTCGAGCCGTGTAGCTCGAGATGGCTCGGAGTCTGCCGTCAAACTCGAGGTCTGGTCGGCCCCTGACTTGTCAAAACCTAGCTTCGCTGAAGCGGTCCGTCAAAAATATAAGAAAATCTCCAAAGGTTCGTCTTCTTTGCTTTAAACCTTTTTTTTTTGAGGGAAAACATAAAAGGAATACATCGGTTCTTGAAAGTTCACAAATCCTTTTTTTGATGATGTGGATGTGATTTGATTGGCAGGATTTAAATTTGGTCCAAGTTGGGTCAGTCATTTCTTCGAGAAGCTGTGGGATCTTCTTGTTCTGACTTAAATCATCCATGGATGTGTGTATCTGTTTAGTCTAACCATTGGGTGAAGGCGACCTTAACGGTCCCGAAACAGTACCAAGATCGAGAACGGGTCCTATTTGAGTTTGATCCGGGGTGATTTGTCCTCTATGAATCTTCCTTCCTAGAGAGCAAAAAATCAAGCAGCAAAACGGCGTTTCGAATCCCATCTAACCCGGTTATCTTTCTAATTTTGATGATCAAGATGCGAAGCTCTCATCTTTACGTCTGAAGGCTTGCCACTTCAAGGGATCACCGGTGGCACGGATAGTGCCAAAAGGATCGACTTTATTATTCCAAAGCAAAGCCGAGCGTTTCCCTTCCAAATTTACATTGAAGTTTCTGCCAATGGTTAGTGCTTCTCTCCTCCGCTCACCACAATTCTTTTTTGTCGTAATCTCTTAAAGTTTGATCGGGCAATTGTTTTGCGGGGGTTTTTCTTTTAGCATTGTTTGGAGTGCCTGATGAGGGCCAACTCGAGGTTCATGATGATGTGTTTTTCGAGTTGGCTATGGCTGATATAGCCATACCACGCATGGACGCTTGGCATTTAATGTGGGACTTCCAAGTGATCTCGGGTATGTATGCGCCCGTATTGCTATCACAGCATTTTTGAATGAGGAATTGATTGGATTGTCTTGGACGATGGCATGCAGACTTGACCAAATCTGTTCCGGTGACCAGTCCGATTTGTCTCAAGGCTCAAACTGTGGCGATGGAGATCATGAACACCTTCAAACCCGACAACTTGGAGACCATTTCTGCTTGCCGAAAGATCGCTGAAAAGATCTTGGGAGCCGAGTGGACTCAAAAGCCCATCTATGATCCCAAGTCTGATTGGGACCTCGAAGGCGACTCGGAAGGCGTCCCAGTGTTTGCTATCGGGCATTGTCACATTGATGTAAGTTTTAATAATATTGGTTTATTACTCGGGTGATCCAGACTATATCATGTGTTTTGATCTTACTCCCTTATCTTACAGACCGCCTGGGAATGGCCTTTTTCCGTCACCCAACAAAAAGTAGCGCGTTCATGGGCAACTCAGGTGGACTTGATACAGCGCTATCCGGAATACCGTTTCGTAGCCTCGACAGCACAGCAGTACAAGTGGCTCGAGGAGCTCTATCCGCAATTGTTTTCTAAGGTTCGACGAGAGGTGGAGAATGGGAAGTTCTTTGTCACTGGTGGCTCGTGGGTCGAAAATGATACGAACATGCCTTCGGGTGAAGCGCTCTGCAGGTTTGTTGTAATCGTTTCTCTTTTTGTGTGAAGTGATACCGGCTATCATCCCTTGATCTTACTATTCCTCTCATCTTCATTGCTTCCATAGACAATTTTTATACGGCCAAAGGTATTTTAAGTCTAGGTTTGGGAAATACACGGATATCTTTTGGCTGCCAGATTCGTTTGGTTATGCCTCGCAAATCCCTCAGATTTGTCGCCAATCAGGAATCCCATATTTCTTTACTCAAAAAGTGAGTCTTCCTTCTTGTTTTTTGTTTCTTTTTTTCCATCGCATTCTGAGCCCAATGATCGGTTTTGTTCATGTGTCATCTATTTGTTAGATGTCCTGGTCCGAGTTCAACAAGTTTCCGCACTCCACTTTCAATTGGATCGGGATCGATGGCACTCAAGTGCTTGTTCACATGACCCCGGTCGATACCTACAATGCTCAGGCTAACGTTGATGAGGTCTTGAAGGTTTGGACAACCCTCTTCCATTCAACAGCTAATCCCTCTTTTGCGGAATTCTCACGTTGTTTCCTTTCTTTTTCTTTCTTATTCAGGCGATCACTAATCACAAAGATCTAGAATGGTCCGACAAAACTTTGTACGCGAGAATCTACATCAAGTTTTTTTTTTCTTGCGAGCCGATAGCTCATGATTGCGGGTTTTTTTGTACATTGGAATTTGTCATGAAGACTGGTTTATGGAAATGGCGATGGTGGAGGTGGAGTAAGTCTGAATTCAAGTCACTTTAACACATTATTTGGCTGGATAGCTCCTCATTGTACTTTTTTTTGCATTCAGCCTCTTGCTCCGATGATCGAGAAGCTGCGTCGAATTCGCTCAGCCTCTAACAACTCTTCAAACTCAGGAGTGCCGAAAGTTACAACGGGACCAGTAAGGATCTCTCCCAAACTTCTTATGTCAACTCTTTGAGTGCCCTGAAGGTCAACTGATCAGAGCACTTAAATTTTGTGTGTTACAAGTCGGTATCTGACTTCTACAAGATGCTGTTGAATAAAACTCGAAATGGAAAGGATTTGCCCACTTGGAGAGGCGAGGTATGTGGTATCTTTTCCCACCATCTCTTTCCTAACGATACCGGCGGATAATACGTTCAGAACACTAATGGTCTCAGGGCATATTAGTTGTATCTTGAGTACCATCGAGGAACGTACACTTCGCATGGGTCAATCAAAAGGCATAACCGCAAATCAGAAATATTGATGCGAGAGATTGAGTACTTTGCTACTCTGGCATCTTTGTTTCGCGAGGATACCGGTTATGAATATCCCAAGGATGAACTGGACCATTTGTGGGAAATAGGTCAGTAGTCTAAAATCATATCCGAGATTATTGAATGGGAGGTTAATCATCGCTGCTTGATTTCGTTAGTACTCCTTTGTCAATTCCACGATGTTCTTCCTGGGAGTGCGATAGCCAAGGTATATGAAGATGCAGAAAAGGTGAACTCAAAGATATCTCACTTGTTCTCATTCTTTACCTTCAACTGAATCTTTGGACAATTGTAGCTCTACGCCGAAGTTGCCCAAAAGGGAACAGCGCTGTTAGAAGCTGCACGACAATCGGCACTCTATGGAAGTCAAGCGGTCGATGTGGTCACAGCCTCCTCAAACAGAGGCGGGAATGTCGTCGGTTTGAATACGCTTTCGTTCCCGCGTCAAGAGATTCTTCGGGTCCCGCTCGAGATATATGATGGTCGATCTGCATTCTCTGCCAGCAAGACAGACGAAGACTCTGTCTTCGTGATTGCTAAGGACGCCACTGGCAACGGGTTGATCGAGCTCGAAAGCTTGTCCCACTTGCAAGAACATATTCAACTCGCTACCGGTGGGTCTGGCTATCTGACTAGACACATGCTTTGAGAGGTGGAATTGATCGTTTGGTTTTCGGGACTCTTAGCTTCTGTTGGCAGAGATGTGAAGACGGGCGAAGTGTGCTACTTCTTGGCTAATAAAGCTTTGACTGTTCAAATCTCATCTCAGGGGAGAATTGTTAGCATCGTCGATACCGAATTAGGGTAATTCGATATCAGCTTATCTCTCGCTTCACTCATACTTATCGGTTGACTGACTGCTGATTTTGGCCGGACATTTCAGACGAGAATTAATTCTCTCTGGGCAGTCGTCCGGTTTTGTGATGTACCAAGGTAAGCTATCATTATGCGATTATACCTACACTTATGAACTAATTGGCTGAGCTGTTTGCTTTAGACCAACCGCTCACTTACGATGCCTGGAATGCCGACATCTTCCATCTCGATACGAAGGAGATTATCGATGCGATCAACGTCAAAGTGGTGGAACCTAAAGGCTTGCGAGCCAGTATTGTAGTGGAATGTGTCTACAAACAATCTAAAATATCGGCAAGCACAAGATCGATGGAATCACATCTGACGATAAGGGCCTTGGTGCTGACAATGTCTTGACATGCTTTTTTTTCCATAACTTTGATAGGCAACTATTTCTCTTGATGCTGTACCGGGTTCTCTCAAGAAAGACGCCTTGTCCCTAGTCCGATTCGAGACAACCATCGATTGGCACGAGCAACACAAGTTCTTGAAATTCGAGGTGCCCTTAGACATCAATTCGGATCAGGCCACCTACGAAATCCAATATGGCGTCTTGCAGAGACCGACGCATAAGAACACTACTTGGGATGCGGCCAAGTTTGAAGTGTGTGGTCACCGCTTCGCCGATCTCTCCGAGTTTGGATATGGAGTGGCGCTTTTGAATGATTGCAAATGTGAGGATCGTTTCAGTTCACCCATCTTTCCCTTGCAATGCGAAGTGAGACTCACACTTTCATGTCGGTTTGTTTTGGACAGACGGTTATGCATGCGAAGGGTCATATCTAAGGCTTTCTTTGTTAAGAGCATCGACGAGTCCGGATCCAAGACAAGACCAAGGGATGCACAAGATGCGATTTGGGATCCTACCTCATCGCGGCCATTTCTTAGAGAGCGATGTGCCTCAAGTCGCAATGGCCTTCAACAATCCCATCCATCTCAGATATGCTCCTCGGAACATCTCGTCCAGGAACCTCTTGGCTCCGGTGACTGAAATCTTCAAGCTGGATGGATTGGGCGCCCGTAACGTGATTCTGGATACTGTCAAGAGGGGCGAAGATGATACGTTCGGCTTCCATTCTCGCAAACCCGTCAGAACTGTCATCGTCCGATTGTATGAAGCGTTCGGAGGTCGCGCAAACGTTCATTTAGTCACGTGAGTCTGCCCCTTCAATTTACTCTGGCAGCTTGTGCTGTAGAATTTTACATTCTCTAATCTCTTTTTTCTTTTCTTTTCCTATAACAACAAAAATCAAATGTTTTTTTGTTTTTTTTTTGGATTTCGGGGGGAAACAGTTTGGTCAAGGCCCAAGAAGTGTTTATCGTCGATGTGCTTGAACGAGAGCTCGAAAAAGTCGAGCTCAAGAATCATCAACAATCGATTACAGATGATCAGGAACCTTACAAACAAGTGGTTGAATTAAACTTCAAGCCATTTCAATTCATCTCTCTCAAGTTCATTCTTTCTTGAATCCTCTTACTCTAAAATCTTCTCACTTTCTTTCTGTCAAGTCCACTTGAAATCTACAAATCACTTTCTCAACTGAACCCCTCCCCCCCTCCCCCAAAAAAAGTTGTATTTTTTTTGTATTGCATTAGTTCTCATATTGGACTTGTTTGAATGTCAATCAGTCCAACAAAAAAACAGTTGTGGGATTGGTGTGCTTGGCTTAGTTATAATCTGGCCAGTTCCAATCCGTGCTTCACCATCACGCTCAATATAGCTTCATTTGTAGTTTCCTTTTTTTTGGATAAATAAGTAGTAGTTTGTCTGAATGTCTTGTGGGGCTCTCATAGTTGTTGTCTTTTTCATGCACTTCTTTTTGGTTTGAGTATGACAATGATTTGCATCATCTAGGTTATTTGTTTTGTTACTTGTAATTCACAAGACAGATGAGCAACCAGAGCCCGATTGAGATGTGTTTAGATGGATGGCTTGCCGGCTTCCGCACTTTTTGCTAGGCTTTCATGAGCTGTTTCTTGCCGGCTTTGTCGCCTTGATGTTCATAAGCCCGGCGCACCCGGCCAAGACAAGCCACCCGGTATCGTTTGGGACTCCGGTCAGACATCGCAGCACTTTTGGTTGCTACTGAAATTTGTTCCAGACACGCGTCCATCGGCCAACATAACCCCGAACTGCTCCACTTCATTGATTGGGCTAACTAAGTATGTAGTATGATTCTGAACACCGTCCGTCCGACCTGTTCCACTTGTTTTTTGTTTCATCAGAATCTATCTCCACGTCCACAGGTCAAACAATCACTTCGCAAAGCGTGTCCGCGCAGCCATAGTACACGTCGTCTTCATCGGCTGGGCTTGGGAGCCAGATCTTGTGTATGTAGGCGTTCTTCGGTTCATGCTGAGCATATCGAAGCCCAAACTACCGTCTGTCCAGAGAATACCCAATATGGTGCATTGGAAGATATCGGCAGGCCTGCTCTTGGCCTGTTCCTTATTCCCGGATAACCATCGTTGTCCCTCTCCTGGATCTTCTCTCCATACTGCTGTTGATCTGGAGGACGGGGCTGGAAGAGACGTCGAAGGTATGTGTCCATTTTTCTTGATGAATTTGTTGGGCAAGATTCCTGAGATCCATTCACTGCCTATCATCATACTCATAGAGACATACCACCAACTACACTCTCTCACTTCTGATGATGGTGTTGCAGGTGGTTATCATAGTGAAGATGGTCAGTCCACTAAAGTAAAGTCAGGGATTCTCCGACTATCCAAACAAAGGTGACGGGATTATGACTGATGTGGTTGCGGAGATCAGGTGGCTTGGAAGCTGTGGACAGGCTTCATGGAGGACAGAGCAGACAGACCAGAGATCAGTTTACTTCTTCCAGCCATGCCCTGGCCACTCAGAACAGTGCATCTACAAGTGAGAGAACCGGTAAGTGAAATGTAAAAAGTGGGATGCAAATCTGACGGCTTGGCTCATCATATCCATCTTTCAGATGCCGAACATCCTCAGCAAGATCTCCAACTGCACCACTGGCTCCAAAAAGGTAACTCTCAAATCCTGACTCATGTTTTGTTTTGGGGGAGAGTCATCACTCACCATAGGTCTCGATTTTCTCAGGCAGATTGGCGGTCAAGAATTCACTCGTGGAATGGCAATCATTGAAAGATCATTTCGTGTTTCTTGAGAAAGAGTTATACAAAGAGTTGGAATCAGTGGACCATGATAATATCCATGACATCCAACATCTTTCTGGAATTCTCCGCCAATTACACGATTCTCATAAGCTTATTGGAAGGGTCTTTGGAGACACCTCAGTTGAACACAATTTGGAACAAAGAGAACACTTTGATGGGAGTTTCTCACAAAACACTTTAGAAGATTACTCGCAAAGCATTGAAGGGCTATTCTCAATTATCAAAGGATACCAACATCAGCCATCATATGACTACCAACTGTTGGTAGATTGGAAACAATGCGCGTTGTGGAGCCTCAACTATCTGTCAAAGAATGGCCTCTTTCCGGTGCATGGACCAGATGGCTTGCAGGAAACATGGAGAAGTCCTCAGATGTTAAGTAGCATCGCTCAGGCTGCTGTTCAAGTGTTCCATCAGGAACACTCTAGGTTTTATCACCCATTTCATACTAGCTTTGAACAGGAAGAGTTTCTGGGAAACCATTTTCAGCTTCTTCATTATCATGATTTCTACAAAGGTCAGTGCTCACTTGATATCTTCAAGTATTCTTTTCTTAGACATTTTGTGGGCACAAATCTGATCTAACTCTTAATGGTCCTTCACAAACAAAAATCTCAATGAATGGATAGGTCTTAACAAGCAGGAAAAGGATCTGTTCATGCTTGATTATATCTGGCATGGATTCATCTACAGAGACTATAGAGACCATAGATCCCAGAGGTGCAAGATGGAGCTCGTTTTTAAGTTGGAAGAGAGGCTTTCTGAGGCATTGAAGAACAATGATTTCCATCAACAAAAGTCGAAAATTCTGTTGGAGGTGAAAGATGAATTGACTGAAATGATGGATTTTTTGCTTGGACCAATTGGAGTTGCGCAAGATGATCAACGGGTCTCCAACAGATTTACCATCTTATTTCTAGAATGTATTAGTAATACTTTTGGCTCCAATTACCTGGAAATGCTTGGATTTGAAGAGAGTGATCCCAGAACCAAGGAAGTAAATCAGAAGCTTCACTATCTCACCCAATTCCAAAGACCAATCATGTGGGTCAGTACATATTTAGATTATGCCCACTATCTAGGAGTCCGGAAGAAAGACGGATTTCCAGTTCAAAAAGATGTCTGGGAAGAAAGGAAAGCTTTGTATCAGAGGAAGATGTCAGAAGCATTGGCTGATTTTCATAGAATGGAAGAAGAAGTGTTTCAAAATCCTCAAATGAAACAGAAACTTCAACTGGAACAATACTGTAACTATTTATTTCCAGGATGGGATGAGTTTTTGAAAAGGCCCAAGGCCATAGATGAGTATTTCAAATCATTATATATGGGAGAAGACTCTTATCCCCGCCCAAAGACTCTATTAGAAGAACCACACACTTTAAACTTTGATTGTCCTCGGTATATCGATGATGATTCACTTTGGTGGAGTTCAGATGGTCAGTTTCACAAACAGAATCTCTTCTTCAAATGGAGTAGAACTTGTGCCTGATGAATTTGAATCAAATAGGTTCCATTGGAGGTCATTTAGACATTGGTGAGATTGGCAAGATCATAATTTCTTGTGATTAGCATGGTTTCTAATCAACTTCCTCATGATCCAGAAAATGAAACACATCATATAGGCATAGATATTCTCAAATGGATCCGGGAAGGTAATTCAAATTTCCATTAATGATTGTAGTTGGTAATCAATATTGAATGTGAACTCTCATTTTCAAAGGGAGATTATCCTTTGAGAATTCAGCATTGGAATGGAACAAATTGAAAATTTCTTGTGCGTTTCTTGAAAGGGAAATCAATCAAGAGTTTGATTCAGTAAGGAATGATGGGGGAATTGATAGTGGAGGCTGGCCAGATAACATGAATAAGAGGGATGTGTCTTTGACTGTCAAAAAGCTGATGAGCTGCCATGAGAATGTTGAGAAAGTCTTTGGAGTACATGATCCAACACTTGATCACAATTTGGAAAAGGGATACCAATTGAATGAAAGCTTTTCAAGAATGATTTTCCATGATTATTCAGAAAGCATATGGGATCTTCTCTTGATTATCAACACAAACCAGCACTTCAAATTCAATGAAAACCAGGTTTACATAGATTTGAACAACTACACCTTGGAGACCATTCATTTCTTATCAAAAAACAATCTGATTCCACGGAATATCAGCAACAGTTTTCAGGAAAGATTGTCTGATAATGAGACTTTGAGAAACATTTCCAAAGCTGCTCTTCTTGTTTTCAATCAAAACTCTAGGTTTTACAATAGGTTTCATTCAAGTTTTGATCAGAAAGAATTCTTAGAAAACCATTTCCAGCTTGTTGAATATCATAATTTCTACAAATGTGAGTAATTTTTCTCTCTTCTCTTCCGTAGTTTCTGTTCAAACCTCTGAAATATTTTTTCTCCAATCCAAAAAAAAAAAATCTTGAACAGATCTTGGGGATCAGGAAAAAGAGCTGTTCTTGATTGACTATGCCTGGGCAGGGTTTGATCACAGGCACAGAAATCGCAACAAACCACAGTTCCTCAGACAAACCCTGTATGCAAAAATCAGAGGAAGTCTTTCTGAAGCCCACAAAACCCAAAATCACAATGAAAAGAAGTCCACAATCTTGTTAGAATTCAAAGATGAGCTGGTTTCAATCATTGATTCTTTATTTGATACAGGAGGATATGGACAGGATGAGGAAAACCTCTTGAATAAAAGTACCATCTTGATCTTGGAATGTGTCAAAAACACATTTGGATCAAATTATATGGAAATACTTGAATTGAGAGAGGAAGTAAAGAAAAAGCTGGAATATGTCAGTGCACTTCAAAGATTGGTAATGTGGGTCAGTATCTACTTAGATTATGCTCACTATCTATCAGTAAAGAAAAATGGTGGATTTCCAGTGGAAGAAAATGTTTGGGGAGAAAGAAAAGATTTCTATCAGAAGAAGATTTCAGAAGCAACTGCTTATTTTTATTACAAGAAAAGAGAGATAGAAGCAGATCCTGAAACAAAGAATGGAGTTGAAATGAGCCAATTCCTGAAATACCTAACTTCAGGATGGGAAGAATTTTTCAAATCACCCAAATTTATATTTGAATATTTTGAATTAGTACAGATGGGTAAAGAAGACTCTTATCCCCACCCAATACCTCTTCTTGAGGAGCCGCAAACTATACATTTCTCCTCTCCTAAGTATGGGGATGATCATTCACAAATCTGGGATTCAGATGGTCTGTTTCACCAATTTTGACTACTTGCACTTTTGATGGTGGGAGAATTACTGATCAAATTTGAAAATCCAGGCTCCCATGGAAGTGGTTTTTACAATAGTGATAGTTGAAAAAATAGTAAATTTTTGTTCTTCTTTGTAACTGCTCTTTCCTGTGCTTCACATATCACAAGTTTATATCATGTGAATTTTGTTTGGTCTGTGGTTTTATTTCTGTACTTGAGAAATTGCCAGCTTATCTCCTGTTCTGTTCCCTTACCATCATACACCTGTCACCTATGTACTATCTTCAAATCAATAAGTCACTGCCATTGAACAAAAAAACATATTTAGCCAACAGAAGATCTGTGCTGAGGGCCAATACTGCTTCAGAGGCTCCATTCAATTTTTTCCAATTTTTTTTTACAGAAATGAATCTTCAATGAGTGGTATCATCTTATCCAGTGCTGGGTTTGGTCCAGGCCTATGTAGGATGAACCAGATCCATATTTCATAGCTCCAAGTGTTGGTCCTTTTGGGCTTGGGAGATACATGGATTCTATATTGATGGGGGTGGATGAGCTAAATTTTACAGTGACATGGTGCCCAAATTGTGTAAAAAATGAACAAAAAACAAGAGGGCAATTCAAGTGCTGACATCAGAATTCTGGGTCAAATAGCTCTGTTTAGAATGGTGGCTCACTGTTTCTTGTGTGTTTTTTAAGCCTCCCTTATTCAAACACAAGGTCTCCCCAAACTTCATATTTTGGTCATTCAATTTCTCCTGGACAAGTTGGAGAATTGTTGTATCCAGAGAATTGGTTTTTTTCTCTCAGTAATTAACTATAGTCAAGGCGGGCTTGAAATGGTTAGGAGCTTAAAAATTCTCTCCATGTCAATATGTATGCAGCCCTTAGCTTCATTGTGGTGCAGGTCCCCTTCCCCGGGCCCGGACTCCGGAGCCGAGCCCGGGTGGTCTGATTAAAGGTGCCATGCACCCCTTCGTCTGCTTAACACCGCTTCGATTAACATTACAAAAAACATTCGTGAAGCCACCGGAAGAAGCCTCTAAACAGATCAACAAGCAATACAGGTGACCATCAGATAGCTCTTGAGTCCGCGACCCGGAGAACATGCCGGTAAGATGTCAGCTTTCTCTCTAGGATAGGGCGAGCAACCGCAGACTCACACAACACTCACTAACGATTGATTTATTTACGACTATCGTGCAATGGTGTAACACAGGTGAATCAGTCACCGCCGTGCCAATCGGAATCTTGCAAGTTGCAGGGTTGTCTGAATAGGAATACTTACTCGCAAGAGAAATGCAGTCATCTCTTAATCGATCTATATCGATGTTGTTCGGATTTATATCAGCAGGATCGTAATCGCCATCACTCCCGTTCTGCTCCACATGATTCGAATCCACCAGTCAAAGATCAAATTCTCAGTCCTGTTTGTCCATTAGAAAGAGTGATCAAAAAAAAGTTAGACTCTATTTAGACCGTATTTCATCAGAAATAATCATAGAATGAATCGAGCTTGCTATTAACACAGCACATTGCTCTGCTTGTCTCAGTCCTTGTGTTTTCTCGGATGTCTTCACTCACACCGGGTGGTAATCTGACTCTGATTGTTCTTGCTTCCGTACCCATCGGAAGGATTGTGGACGCAGCCAATCAAACACAGCTGGGAAGTGGAACTTGAACAGGTTCCAGGCCAGCTGTCTATTGGATGTGCAACATACATCCAGCAATGCCATCCAGCCAGTTTAAACGTGAGGCACTAGTTTGGAGAGGAACCATATCTGCGTGATAACTATATATTTCCCCTGTAACATCAATGGTTTCTGGAATCTTCAGCCAAGATCCCCATCCTCCTCGAGGCTTGGTCCGACGCGTCGGCGTAGGGGTGAGTGCCTTTGGTAAAGCCTCGCATGCAGACATGTAGGCTGGTTACAATCCGGATGAACACTACAATTGATCTACTGGTGTAAGAATCAAGATGAAGGCAACATGCAGTGACTCCATCCCACTTTCAATCTCACCAGCCTGTCTTGCCATGCTACATACTTTTATCGATCCACCTGACAAGGTGCCTTCGGGTTGGTATGCTGAAACTGGTAGCGTGTCGAGTTTGAATCTCCCGAGGGTGGGACTGGTGTCCAATGTGAGATTCTGCACGGCGAGATTCTGACTGATGGTTTCACGATAATGCACCTTGCCTGGACCCGCTTCGTGGTTTTGCCTCGTTCTTCCAAGTTATCACTGTTTTTTCTGATGAAAAGTGAGGACTATCTGATCGCCACTTCACCTGCCAACCAAGAAAAAAAAAGCAAGTGAGAGACTCGCCGAGTGATGATAGTCCGAGGGCATTCCAGCCTTCTTATTTTGGGCTCTGTTGTTATTCTCTACTCAAGCCTTTCGATCATCCAGCTTGGATTGTGCGTAGAGTCGAACCTCCTAGCGACAGACTCATTCCTCGCAAGCTCTCGAAGGGAATTTGTGAGCTCAAGCGAGAGTTACCTACCAAAGCTCCCGCCATCCAGTTGGGGAAGGAAACGGCCGAGGTCAAGGGGAGATCCAAATCCTATTCCACAATCCAATCCATCAAGTTCAGCCCCACAAAAGGAAGAAGGGCCTAGTGCCGCTCGATTCGCTCCACATGAATCTCAAGACTCCTCCAAGGAAATGTCCAAGATCGATGAACCCGCGCGCAAGAAACCTCTTTTCGATCTCAATGTCGCCTTGGACATGAACGGCGAGCCTTTGGACCAATTCTCAAGCGTTTCAGCGGGGCCAAGCTTTTCCAATGCAAGACCAAATTCGCCGTCACCCGACGTTGAGCACCACTTACAAGGTCAGTAAACCGCAATATAATCATGTGCTTGTCTCCCTTGCTATTTTCTGCCTTGATGTATTCATTGCTGAAACGGTTTGCATGCCCTTGTTCGGTTAAAATGTTAACATAAATATAAAGATTCTGTAGCAAGCTCAGAGGTGACTAGACAGTGGCTGCCTCCGATTCAGATTTCGAGTGGACCGATAGCTGAAGAACAGAGTGCTCAAGAAACAAGTGCTCCGGAAAAAAGCGTCCAAGAACAAAGCGCTCAAGAGAAAAGAGCAGAAGCAAAACGTGCTCACAGAAAACGTACTCGAGCAGAATGTGCTCAAAGGAAACTTTTTCAAGCAAAACTTATCCAAGCTGAACGTGCCCAAGAAAAACCTCCTCAAGAACCACGACATTGGTCCAGAGAAAGATTTTCGACAGTTGACCTGGAGGAACCCAGTATCCCCTTGGGCAACTTGAAGCGATTTCCAAAATTCGGCGCAGAGGTATCAACGGCTGCATATTTTGCATCAAAGTTTGAAGGAAGGATAAGAGAATACGATTCGATAATTCGCGTTCATTCGATGCTAGAGGAACCTGCTACAGCAGATTTGCCGCTGATTCATATGGAGATCTACGCGGAGATGAAAAACCAAGAGGACCCAATTAAATCAATTTCTGGTATTCGACGACCCAGAGGGCAAATGAAGAGAGCAACCGCTCTACTGAATTTGTTGAAGCCATTGACAAGATGGATTTTATTCACTCACACGGCTCTGTTAAGGCATTACGAACTGCCACTAGATGAGCAGAAGGTCCGCTGCAAGGCTCTGTTTTCCTGGTTGCTTGCCGAAGTATTCGAGCATACTAACTGTCCGCCTGTTTTGGGCATTTTTCCGGGGGTCTCTCGGGAGTATGACATGAAGTATCGGCCCATCCAACGAAGAATCATCGAATATCTCACTCACGAAAGATATATCGAACATGTCTATCCCGTCTCGCTGGCTGTCGTTGGTATTTGGTCCAAGACGTTTGACCGCCAGTCCTGGAATCAGCACGTCAAGTCTGATCAAATTTATTGGAAACTCATCCAAGATTTAACCCAAAAATTTAGCCCTTCAAAAGAAAGTCTTCAGCCCTGGGATGATCTTAACCCACATCTCTCCCACGAGGGGAGAATAGGCAATTTCGAGATCATTGAGCTTGCTACATTGATCCCAGAAGCTGTACGAGTCGAGCTTGAGTCAACTTGGAGAGCGAAATCACTTGATCCTCCAATCGTTGCGGAGAAAAAAATTCTAAATCAAGTTAGAGAATTGTATGGGAACTTTCCTGGACCAGGTAAACCAAACAAGTTCGTTTGTTCAACCCTCCCTGTGGCTGTGAATACGATGGCGAGAGAGGGAAAATACGCATACGCGTTAAGACTTGTTGAGCCCGGTGATCAGACCTTGCCATGGTTTTCACTCGTGGAAAGGATATCGATCTTGCTACGAACCATCAATCACATCCATTGCAAGTTTTATCAAACTTTACCCAAGAGACAACCTGAAACCATGGAAGCTTTTCACGAGAGATTCTTGGGATGGTTTGAGGAAGAATTCTTTAGACCAAGGAATAGTCTACCGGTCGTGGGAGGACGTGAATTTCTACTGGACCCGGAAACTACGCCAGTTGGTAATCGGTTGGACTTTGGCAAAAGATTCGGTCCCGTACAAACTTATTTGATCAAAACCCTAGCTTCAGATCTTCCAACCTTCCAGCTGTTTCAGACCTCAATTACACTTTTGGGATATTGGTATTGCAAAGGAAATCCGGAATTCTGGGCACGAAACTTTAGAACTGAAGTCCAGTATTTCAAGAGACTTTCTGTAGTGCTGATGGCCGTTGAACCATATAGTCCTTGATCGCGTGATTGGATTAATGCAGTCCAGGGGCCAGCTCTAATCATGAAAAATACTGTCAGATTCTTGTAGGTGACGTATTGGAAGTGATGGTATATAAGTGGTTTCATAATTTCAAATTCAACTCTCCAGCATGTATATTCCTAATTTTATCAGTCAGTCACAGTTTTTTTGAAAGAAACATACATTGTCCACTTCTCACCTTAGCATTTTCACTCCAATATGGGCAAATCCAACTGGAATTTTCATTTTGTTATAATAAGAGGTAGGTACTAAATGCTGTTATTGAGTTTCAGGGAGATGGTTTATTGAGTTCAAATGTGAAAGCCTCCAGACACTAATTGTTCTCTTATGAAAAGAGCCAAAAATGAATCAGTATGCCGCAAGTTTAAGAAAACACACAAGGTTATCTTACTGATGAATGGACAAATTTCCACAGTGATTCCTTCCAATGAGACAATCCAAGGGCAAAGATGAGATCTTTTACAAAGATAATGGATCTTGGACTTTCAGTGTGCGCTGATTAAAACCCAACTCACACAAAGACACCAAGACAGTTAAAATGTCAGATTTTTGTCTCCTTTCTCTGTGTCAGGATTGGGATAATCACAGATGTAGCGCGCAGTATCTATATCCTATACTCAATGATGAAGATGAGATGATGAGAGGTTAGTAATAGAGGTGATTAGTGTAAAGTTCAACTGCACAGCACAGAGAGCTCTTGATGAGTCTTACAGCTTCTTCCTGCAGCTTTCAAGCCGGGGAAACCAATCTCAAGATGGCTCTGAGTTGGGAATAGTTAACACTTCAAGTTGAAAATTAGGGTAACAGTTGTAAGGTGAACTTGAGATAGAGTCGTGAAAGAGTGGTGCATGAGGCGTAGAGAGGTTGTAAGATTAAGGGGGGGGGGGGGGCAAAGCCTCAATAATCTAGTTAGATCTTGGTTGGTTTAGACGCAAGGGTTGCTGGAGCCTTCCAGATAGGTAGTGAAAGCTATCACACGGAAGGTGTTCAGGCTAACAAGTGCTCACGTGGTCGGGGCGTAGTAGTTTGAGTACAATCAATTAGATGGTAGCTAGCTCAAGGGGGTATGATTGCTCTAGGAAAGGAAAAGGAAGGGACCAGCGGCTCCCTTAAATACTAGAAGAAGTTGCTGGCCAATTTGTGGTCATCTTATTCCTTGGGTTCAAGGAATAAGATGGAAATGGTAGATGTCTTGCTCAACGGTTGGGGAATGAGACGCATTGCAACGCGTTATTTCTTGCTGCGCTGCAGCCTTATTCATTAACTTTTTATTCATTTGTTCTATGTGCGCCCACGCATTGTCTCATTCTTATTTCTTTATTCTTTTATTTATTTTATTATGATCCTTTGTCCTATGAGGGGGTTTAAATCTGTTGACCCCTGACACTCTGTGTCTTTCTCCAGTTCCCTCTCTTTCTCTCAGTTGAACAAGCATCTCTATCCTTCACCATCCCATGACACTGTCAAGATTCGTCCGTTACCTGCAACTCCCAAAAGAGGCTGTGCAAGGAACACGTCTCAGCAGAATCAAGCCAAGGTAAGCCACAAGTGTTACCAAGTCCCCAAAGAGACATAACACACAAACTAACAACTTATGAACCCTTTCTCCTGATCCCAATCAGATGAAACGAGTCTTAAGTCACCAAAGCAACGCGCCCGATTGGAGCAGCCCAAGGAGAAGCAGAACCAACCGACCCCCATCAAGGGAGCTGGCAGGGCAGCCTTGTGAGTATTTAAGAAGAGCATGTTGGCAGCTCAGGATTTGTTCCGCAGACTGACCCATCCACTCATTCGTCCACAGTAACACTCACACCACGCTCCTTCACCAATCAAACAAATCCCCTCTAGCTACTCGTATAAGCCAACCCAGCATCGAGTAAGCACTACTCCCCCAAAAACCAATCAAGCCTCATGATAGAGTGAAGACTAACCAAGTCGTTGCTTGCATCCGTCACAGACAACGATCTGCCGACAGGTCCACTTGACAGCTTCGACTCCAAAAGCTAGCGAGGCATCTTTAATAACCCAAGTACGGGATAAATCATATCTGATCAGGAAGCAATTGTTGCAGGCACTGACCAAACAATTTCCTTCCCTATCTAAAGATATCGATAATAACTTTTCATCTCACCGACGTCTTTCCTTAATCTCATCTCACTCTCTACATTTCACGATAAACAAAAACACAAAAATATATTCTCTCTTCTAAATCTGCAGCGACGCGACCAGTCCTGCTCTTAGGTAAATAATGCTCAAGTTTTCATCATTCATTTCATCATCATCTAAAAGAATTCTTAGTACAAAACCATTGTAATTAGTCATTCAGAATCTAATGCAATCAACGCTGCTCTTAGCTGTCCTAATTTTACAGATTTACAGTCTCGAGTTCAAACAAACCACCCTCAATCTATTTCACGATTCAGCTAAGGAGCAGGACAGTTGAAATGGTCAACCCAGCCTCGTCAAACGCCTCCAGCACCGCATCCAAGAAGGAGGAGAAGGAAGTCATCGTCATTCCAACCTTCACTGGCACCAACTTTCCCAACTGGCAAATGACCATCAGCGCCTATCTCGAATTCAAGAAGCTCTGGTATGTTTGCGAAACCGATGTGCTTGGAGCCGATGCACCCAGTGATCTGGCCAGGACCAACGCCTTAGAAGTCTGGCTTATCTTCAGCTCCAAAATCACCCCCGAGATTTTCAATAGCATAAATAGCATCTGTGGCAGGAATCCCTTCAAGATCTGGCAAAAACTGAAAGAAGACTACGCCGCGGCCAACATCTACGGAATTTATCGTGTCTGGGTCAATTACAGCAGGATAACCTACGATGATGATCTCCTTAAATACATCATCAAAATTGAGGCAGCACTCTCCGAGATCAGCAGTATTGGATTGGACGTCATGCAAGAGATCGTCAGTGTCTCCATCATGGAAAAGATAACCGACAAACGGCCTGCGCTCATGGAGAGTATCTTGACCGACATGGATACACTCTCAAATCCCTTCTCACTTTTGGCAAAGTTGCGGCAACTTGCAAACCATGACCAAATTCGAAAAGTCAAGGAAATCACCTCGCAATGTGCACTGAACACCACCTCAAACCAAAAGAAACGCTCGTATCCTACTTGCTCTGATGGACGCCACAATCCAGAAACCAAGCATCTCGAATCAGAATGCTTTGTTCTCCATCCTGAAAAGAAGAACAGCAGCAAAAGGAGGGCAACCAACTACAACACCACCACTGCGGTCGAGCCGATCACCAAAGGCTACACCTATCACACCGGTGATTCCTCTGCTGGCCGAAATGCTTTTGTTCTTGACTCAGGTGCTAGCCAGCATATGTTCAACTCACTATCATTCTTTGTCACGTCGGAGCCGACTCATATCCCCATCATCACAGGATCTGGCGAAGAGAATGTCTCTATGATGGCTACCAGGAAAGGAACCGTACGGCTCAAGTTGAACAACAACACCACGATGACACTCAAGAACGCACTCTTTGTCCCATCCTTGAGCACCAACCTGATCTCCTTCGCACAGCTCATCAAACAGAAGGCAGAAATCGTGGCGCAGAATGGACGTCTTAAAATCATCATCAACAATCAACAAACCATCATGGTAAACACTTCGAACAATCTTTTTGAAATCGAAGGCATTCAAACAGCAACTGCATTACAGACATCCACCGCTGAACCAAGCTCGGAATTCACTAAATGGCACCAACGTCTCGGCCATGCTTGCGCCGCAAGACTAAGGATTGCAACCGGCAATGCGTTCCCTTCTTTACCAAGAGAGATTTGCTCGATCTGTGTCCAAGGAAAAATGACCAGTCTCGCCTTCAAAGGACACTTCAGCCCCACGCAACAATCTCTTGAAGTTGTCCACGGCGACCTCGTTGGCCCTATAAGACCTGCAACCAACGGTGGCGCTCGATACTTCCTCACTCTGGTGGATCAGCACACTGGATTCATCAACATCAGCTTACTAAAGGAAAAATCTGACGCAACCAAAGCCATCATCGAATACAAGAGATTCATTGAAAAACAGACCGGAAATCAAATCAAGAAGTTGATAACTGATGGTGGTGGAGAATTCGTCAACAAGACCCTTGGCGACATTTTGGAGGAAGAAGGAATACAACATAACGTATCGCCTCCATACACTCCGCAGCACAATGGGATTGCTGAAAGAGCTAACAGGACCATAATCGAAGTAACCAGATGCTGCTTGATTCAATCAAACCTAGCATCGGAGTACTGGGGTGAGGCAGTCCTTTCAGCAGCCGCAACCACCAACTGTCTTCCTTCGATATCAAAAAGCAAGGCTTCTCCGCATTTCCTGATGTTCAAATACCAACCCAACATCTCGTTCCTTCGACCTTTTGGCTGTCAAGCGTGGGCTCTCAAACCAAAGGCAAACAGGGACAACAAGTTCGATGCAATTTGCTGGGAAGGAATTCTGCTTGGTTACGCGAATGATCTATCGGCATATCGCATACTTCGACATGACGACAAAAAGGTCATCTTTTCTCGACAGGTCAGGTTCAACGAAACCGTCTTTCCGTCGCAAACAGCCACCCACCCCAGTCTTGATGGAGTATCGGAGGAATCTCTCCCCGTTTTCCAATTTGAACCCATCCTCCCATTTGAAAATTCAACCATCGATAACGAGCGTGAGCTCTCTCCTGAGGAAGCTAACGATGATACGGCGGCGGCAGTCGATGACCATCCGATCAGTCCCGAAACTGGAAAAAGATGGACCTACGTCAAAAAACTTCCAACCTGCTGACCCCATTGACAGCGGAATCAATGAAGACAACATTCTGCCCGGCAAGAGGACGCGGAACCGTGCCTTCTTCGTGGCTGTTGCGACTGAGCCCAAGACTCACAACACCGCCATGAGAAGCCCGGACCATCTGCAATGGAAGGAGGCGGAGTTGAAAGAAATCAACAACATGAAAAAACATGGTGTTTGGATCGAACGACCTCGTCGACCATCTGACTCGCCAATTGCATCCACCTGGGCCTACCGCAGAAAGTTGGGTCCGGACAATCAAGTCATTGAGTACAAAGCTCGAATCTGTGCTCAGGGTTTTCGTCAAACCTTTGGCGTCAACTTTGATCTCAAGTATGCGCCGACAGGAAAAGCCGCCTCTCTCCGGTTACTTCTGTCCTTTGCCGTCAACAACAACCTCTCAATTCACCAGCTCGATGTGCGAAGTGCTTTTCTCACCTGTCCCCTCGAGGACACCGTTACACTCTTTCCTCCTCAAGGCTACCCCTGTGCGGACGGCACCATTTTTGAACTCAAGAAAGCTATCTACGGCCTAAAGCAAGCCTCGCTTGTCTGGTACAAACGGCTCAGCAACTTCCTTCAAAAGATTGGCTTTTCAGCAACTGTCTCCGATCCATGCGTCTTCCACCGACCTGGGAATGGCTCCAAATCCTCCACTTGGATCTACGCCCATGTTGATGATTTGGTAATCATCGGCAAGGACCCCCTGGCTTTCAAGGAAGAAATCGAGCGAGAGTTTGAAATCAAGTATCTGGGAGCTGCGGAATTCCTCCTTGGAATGAACATTGACCGTATCCCCTCTGGTCTCCACATTCATCAAACTCAATATATTGAAAGGAAAATGATTGAATTTGGGCTGGAAGGTTCGGCACCTTCCTCTTGCCCTCTGAATCCAAAAGGTCACTTAAAATCAGCGTCGCCGGCGGAAATTGAAGAACTAAAAAACCACGGTGGTAACTACCGCGCCCTGGTCGGCTCTCTCAACTATCTCAGTGTTCTCACGCGGCCTGATATCTCCTACTCCGTAAGCGTGCTGTCCCAACACCTTGAAAAGCCTGGTATCCTACACTTCAGGGCGGCCGAACAGGTGTTCCGTTACCTATCGGGCACGAAACAGGTGGGGCTGATTTTCAGAAAGCAAGACAGCCTGTCCCTGAGTGCTCATGTCGACTCTGATTGGGGAAACTGCCCAGACACAAGGCGATCGGCAACCGGATATGTAGTTCTAACACACAATCAAATCCTGTCCTGGAAAGCCACTCGGCAATCAACCGTCTCCCTCTCTTCAACCGAAGCGGAGTACAAGGCCCTCTCTGACCTTGGGAGAGAAATCTCTTGGCTTTCGCACCTCATATCTGAGCTGGACCTGGGCTATGAGCCAACTGGAATCCCCGTTGGTGTCGACAATCAAGGCGCCATCGACCTGGCCCGAAGTGAAATATCCCAGAACAGCTTTCGAACAAAGCACATGGACATTCGCCTGCACTTTGTCAGAGAGCTAATCACCGAAAAACTCATTGTTCTCAAGTACATCCGCACAAACAAAAACTCCGCAGACTTCCTAACCAAACCTACCGGTCGCAGCACAATCAGAAGATCCCTAGCTGCCATAGGCGTGCAAGCACCTCCTTCCCCTGCTTATCGCCAAGAGGCTCAAAGCAACCCAGGCTGTCAAGATTCGTCCGTTACCTGCAACTCCCAAAAGAGGCTGTGCAAGGAACACGTCTCAGCAGAATCAAGCCAAGGTAAGCCACAAGTGTTACCAAGTCCCCAAAGAGACATAACACACAAACTAACAACTTATGAACCCTTTCTCCTGATCCCAATCAGATGAAACGAGTCTTAAGTCACCAAAGCAACGCGCCCGATTGGAGCAGCCCAAGGAGAAGCAGAACCAACCGACCCCCATCAAGGGAGCTGGCAGGGCAGCCTTGTGAGTATTTAAGAAGAGCATGTTGGCAGCTCAGGATTTGTTCCGCAGACTGACCCATCCACTCATTCGTCCACAGTAACACTCACACCACGCTCCTTCACCAATCAAACAAATCCCCTCTAGCTACTCGTATAAGCCAACCCAGCATCGAGTAAGCACTACTCCCCCAAAAACCAATCAAGCCTCATGATAGAGTGAAGACTAACCAAGTCGTTGCTTGCATCCGTCACAGACAACGATCTGCCGACAGGTCCACTTGACAGCTTCGACTCCAAAAGCTAGCGAGGCATCTTTAATAACCCAAGTACGGGATAAATCATATCTGATCAGGAAGCAATTGTTGCAGGCACTGACCAAACAATTTCCTTCCCTATCTAAAGATATCGATAATAACTTTTCATCTCACCGACGTCTTTCCTTAATCTCATCTCACTCTCTACATTTCACGATAAACAAAAACACAAAAATATATTCTCTCTTCTAAATCTGCAGCGACGCGACCAGTCCTGCTCTTAGGTAAATAATGCTCAAGTTTTCATCATTCATTTCATCATCATCTAAAAGAATTCTTAGTACAAAACCATTGTAATTAGTCATTCAGAATCTAATGCAATCAACGCTGCTCTTAGCTGTCCTAATTTTACAGACACTACATACATACACATTTCTGTGGGTTCAAATTAAACTCTGCCACCAATCAAGCCACCATCCCCTCACACACACACATGTTGCTCACTTTTGCATCCCCATCAACTGGCCTCCTCAGGCCTAGGCCTCAAGAGCACTAGGGCAATTCTTAACATCCCAGAATGATCTGGCACCCAGTTTGCAACCCCAGTTTTGGTGTGCACTCCAAGAAAATCTGGAGTGCCCTCTTAAAAACCCTTGGAGTGCACACCTTTTTTGGTGTGTGTGGGGGAAATCTTTGGTGTGCTTCTTTTGTGAGCGTTGAGAGCCACGAGCTTAACAAAGCCTCTCGAGAGCCCCCCCACGGGCCCTGCAGGGTCTCTGTCTCCTCCCTTTGGTCGTCGTATGCAGGCGACTCCACAGGAGAGGAGGGAAAGGGGCTTGTGTTAAGTTTGTGAGAGCCCATGTGGGCAGATGCATGTTGTTCAGCTAGCTCAGAGATACATGTTCCTGAGCGGATAGTGTGGTTCTCATCAGTGACCTGTTCACTCTGCGAAAGCAGGAGATTGATCCAAACTATGTACACTGACTGCCCTAAGGCAAAAAACTTCACAAACTGCCCAAGTTTTTTTTTTTTTTTTTGTAGCTTTGTTGAGCTATGATCGATGGTTTATTTCCAACAGTTTTCACTCTTCCATTGTTCTGTGCCCAGGGGAAGGCAACTGAGTCCACAGGAAACCTGGGATCACATCAAATCTGACATATAGAGACATACGTGGAACAGCCCAACCTCTTCTGCATACTAACAGTAGGATTACAGATGGCTCAGGAATCCATTGTGGAATCGTTTGTAAGAAAGAGCATAGAACGCGCAAAAAGCAAGAGCGGACTAGCAAAATAGATGGTGAAGTTGTTAAGCAGTAGGATCTGTTGACAAATTTTTCAGTTGACACGGAGATCATTCTCGAGACCCCATGACAAGAAAATAGGATCAACTATTGATAACAGATATTGGGCCTTCGTTTGATTGGTTTGTTGGGACTCGATGACCACCGACGATTATTTTCCAAGGGGACAGGCCTTCTTGTATTGCGGGATGGTAAGTGAGTAGTGTCCAGGCTCCTGTGAACGGAAGCGTAAGAATTATAGGAAGCCGAGTCAACTGATGATTGAACACATGTTTTTTTTTTCTTTGGAAGACCCACTTGAGATTGCGGATGAAGATACGCACATATGGATCGGGCAAACAGGTTTGATCAACCTTGCAGCAAGCTTTTGAGTCCACCAGTTCCTGGTCGTTCGGCTTGATCGCACGAACTGCATAATTAGAATGGTGGCGAAGGATGAATGCCCCGTCAATAGATTTTCTTCATGTCGATCAAGAGGAACAGTTGGCAGCAACTTGATCTAATCTCGACTTGCGGTGCCCATAGGAGATAAAGAAAACTTACTGAGCCTTCCGTCCGGTTTGGCGTGAGGTGCAAAGTTGATTACGTAGAATGGGCTGAGGCCTTCAGGACATGGGAATGCTCCCACATAGGCAGCGGGGCCCATGAGCATAATAATGCTGGCGAACAAGATAGATAGATTTCCGAACTGCATCGCGAAAGCCTAGGTGACAATGAAGATGATTCTGTTGTGGGTTTTGAATAGGTTTTTAGATGGGGTTTTCTATGTGAGAATCAGCGTTGATTGGTGCCAAGTACTTATAGAATGATAGGTAGGCTACTGATCCTGGGCGCAAACAGGCGAGGGGGAACCTTCAATAAAAGCAGTCGTTAGATTTGGGCGGAGCTGGTCGCATCACGCAGAATATGAAGGTGTTAAGAAGGAAACAGGAGTAGGCAGAAGTATTTGAACAAGGGTCATAAAGCGATGTAAAACCGGTCAGCGCAAGTCACGTCACCTGGCTCAAGTATGTAGTGGTGTTCAGGGGGGGAGGGGGGTTCCTGGGGTCACAACAAGCTTACAAGGTGTCAACACCACACAGTTCATAGAGTTGTCTGATCGACATGATTTCAGACAATCTAATGTGATCTATTAATGAGATTTCTTCAAAGAACATAACACTTAACAGTTCTTTTCAATAAAATCTATATAGATAGATGTAATGATGGTAATAAGGTAATGTGGTGGCAACCCCGGTCCAATAACATCTCAATCAACCAACAAGAAAGACAGACAAGAAGGCTATCACTTTGGTTTGGAATACTATTTATGATTAAGCCATCTGATGAGACACGTGATAGTTGAAGAAGAAGAACCCAGACTGGATGTACCTGAAATCTACAACAATCTTGTAACCAAATCACTCAAATAAGAAAACAATATGGTTTTTTTTTGGAGTATTTGGATGGGATGACACTTTTTTTTTGTGGGATGGGTTTGTGAATAGGATCATGAGTACAACACTCCAAAAGAAATGAAATTGGATAAAAACAATGAATAGATGGATGTTGGAGGGTCATCAAACATACATCATAAATAATCCCTACAAAGAGGAGACAAGAGAAGATAAAAAATAATAATAATTCTGGCAATGGTAAGAAGATTCTTGATTGGTTAAATTTTCTTCATGATAAGACGCCCCATCTCTTTTTTTTTTTGGTTTCTCCCGACCAAAAAGAAACAAGAAAACAAGAATCCTGAGTAAACCGGACCCATTCTGAATACCGACTGCACCTACAGACTTCTATTAGTGAGATGATAGACATCAACTCAAAGTTTCGCCCTGTACACACCCCGCACCAGATCCGCCCGCCGAACCAAGAGCCAAAAAAAAAGAAAGAAAAAGATGAGTCTTGGAATGGAAAACAAAGATCAGGAGAAGAAAGAATCGGACGAACATGGGAGTTCAAATTGAACAGACTAGCCAATTCGCTGACAGTCATTCGCTTAAGCTCTACACAAAAAAAACAACAGATTAAAACTGAACAAGCAGCAGCAAGCAGCAGAGAGCCAACAACAAGAAGAAGAAAGAAGACGGGGGGGGGACTGACTTTTGCCGGTGCCTTCACCGAGCGTACTGTCAGTGATATCCTGTTTGTTTTTCTGGAGATTGCAGATCCGTTGTTCGACCGTATCAATAAGCATGACCCGTTTGACATACACCGGTTTTTCTTGGCCGAATCGATGGGCACGACTACAAAAAAAAAAAAAAAAAACACAAGAGTTAGGAGGAAGAAGAGGGGGTAGTTTGAAGAGAAAGAAAGAAAGGGATGTGGGGTGCAGGAGGGGCAGGTTGGACAAGCGACAGGAACACCTACTCGAACGCTTGTTTTTCACTCGCTGGCGACCATGCAAGATCGAGCGAAACGACCCCTGTCAAGTGATCAAAGAACCTCATAAGCTGAGATCTGAAGACCAAGGAGGAAATTGACAAGTGTCCCAAGAAAACGTACGGTTTGCGCATGTCAAGTTCAGCCCGACCCCGCCGCACTTCAACGACATCAACATGATCGAGTATTCCGGCTTGGTCTTGAAGTTCTTGACGGCCTGATTACCTACGATCAACCGAAAAAAAAAGTTCCATGAGGACTTGATGAAGAGAGAGAGAGCAAAACAAAACAAAAAACGTACGTTCGACAGTGTTCATGTCTCCTTGATAAGAGACGAAACGGAGCCCTCGTTCGCGAAGGAAGGTGCCGCATATGGCTAGCATCTGAGCAGCAACGAAGAAAAATGTTAAGCATCATGTAATCTATGAGGGACGAAAGGGAAAAGGAGTCACTTACGCTTGTCCATTGACTAACGACGATGATCTTGTCGGTCGGGTTCTCTTTCTTCACGTCCTCGATTTGTTTCAAGAGCCACGCTACCAAGAGTAATAAACAAACAAACAAAAACAAGAATGGGCAACCAAGATACGTGTGTGTAGACAACGAGGGTTGGAGAACTGACCGAGTTTAGTTGAGGGCACGCATCCGGAGCGATAGCAAATCTCCTTTTCCTTTCCTTTAGCGGAAGTTTTCTCATCATCATTGTCAGAATCGTCGAGGATACCATTGCGCATCTTGCGATGCAGGGTGACACCAGAGTCGGGCAACTCTTCGTTGTCGTCGTCCTCGATCTTATCGGCGGGAGGGAGGAAGGCGGATTTGAGATAGGTATCGAGCCGACGGAACGGGGCCCGACAGTTCGGACAGGGCTTGGTGATCTTGTTCGGGTCTGTCACAGTCTCGTCGTCCATCACCGTGCGTGGTTGCATCAAGAGTGTGTCCAGACAGCCTTCGCAGAACACATGTCCACACGCCGTGATACGCGAGGTGTCATCCAGTGGATCATTGCAAATCTATGTAAACGAGAAAAAACTTCAATGGTCAATGGCAAGCCGGACAAAAATCAAATTGAATGTCACTTACCGGGCATTCAGGAGCAGCGGCCTCGTTGCGGTCCTAGAAACATGTACAAAGTAATCGTGAGCCCCCGACTGTCACACATAACTATCCAAGATTAAAACCGATCAACAAACCTGGAGCTCAGCTTTAACCAACTCTTGGGCCTCGGCTTCGAATTTCTTTTTCGTGTTGTCGACCCATTCCTGGCCTCGTTCTTGGATAGCCCGTGCGAGTTCGCTTTCTGGATCGGCGAACTCGGGGTCGGCCGAGTCGTCGACATTTTGCGGACTTGAATCCTCTTCAATCGCAAGCTCCTACAAAGAAGCAATATTCAGATCGACAAATAATAAGGTCGGTAAGCAGAGTGAATTGGAGGAAAAGGAAAGCAAGATCAAATGGCCCAGTGAGAAGAAAGGATAAACTTACCGGATGTCCACAGGCTTGTCGCAGTCGGAGGAGCAAGACCAAGATACAAGCGAAATTCTGCGGAGATTAGAACAACCGAAAAGTCAGCTTGAGCTCACACACTAATAAGTGTAGAAATCAAACTAACCTTCAAGACGGTACCTCTTCTGAGGAACACATTAAACTTGCGCTGAGCTTTCTTCTCGAGCATGTCGTAGACCTCACGTTCGTCAGGGGACATGGGAAGCATGACGTCTTCCTCGTGTTTGGGGGGCAAGACGATGAGCGGCTTGCCGTCCAATTTCGAATCCTTCTGTCGCCGAAGCATGCAGGTGCCCAGGACAGCCTGGGCACGTTGGGTGGCCAGGTTAGGCTTCTTCTTCTCATACCGCGAGATGTGGTCGCGGAATCGATGATGGTCGTTGTAGGGACGGATCCGCAAGAATCGGAGGTATGGGTAGATGTCCCATAAATTGTTGAAGATCGGCGTACCCGTCAAACACCATCGATAGACCGACTTCAATGCGCACACCGCTCGACTCTTCTTCGACTGACGGTTCCGGATGATTTGCGCTTCGTCGATCACCACTCGGTACCAATCAATCTTGTAAAGTCCGCGTGGCTTCTTGGGAGTCTCGCTATCCTCGTCGTCCCACCAATCGCCCCTAAGAGTATCCAACGTGGTGATCACCACATCGTAGTTCGAAACCTTCTTGCGTTCAGCCACCTTAGTGCTTGAATGATATATTAAAACACTTAAATCACAGGTCGATCGTTCCGCGATTTCTTCCTTCCACTGACTCAAGAGGGCTAAGGGGGCCAATATAAGGGTGGCTTTAATCTTCGAATCTTCCGACCGATTCTTGACCATCGTGGCAATCCTGGAAAGAAAGCATTAGCCAAAGCGCCCAAGGGTAGAGAGAAAAAAAAACGTTCATAAATACTTACATTTGAATGGTTTTCCCAAGACCCATTTCGTCACCTAGGATCCCACCCATGTTCTTCGATTTTTCTTGTTTGATCATCCAAGCGACGCCAATGAGCTGATGACTGTAACAAATAAAAATAAGCAAGCAAAGGCAGCAGTTAGAATCATTTGACATAAAGAAAACAAAGAGGAAAAGTGAAGCAAAAAACAAAAAAACGAACGGCATAAGTAAGACTTGCAGGCCCTCGAGCCGAGGTTCTTCGCCCTCAACCAGGCCGAGTTCTTGACGGGCGCCAGCGACGGTAGCGTTATGAGTGAAGTTCATATTCTGGACGGCTTGAGTGAGGAATTCGTGACTATCTTCGAGCCGGACGGGCGGAGTATAGTAAGGCGAGGTCGGATCGAGATGGTTAGGCGAGTTGAGGAACATGTTGGGAGGCAACAGTCGGCTGACGGAGTTCATGAGATTTGAGACATGATTCGGATCGTCATCTGAGCAGTCCTCGTCGCTCTCGTGAGCCCACGGATTGTGAATCCCACTAGGCTTCTGGTCCCCATAGGGATCGCTTTTCGGGAACTGACTCCCGCTCGGTTTGTGGTCTCCAAACGGATCGGCCTTCATGAACGGGATGCCCGATGCTGGCCCGCCATGGTTTCCGAACAACTGGGCAGTAGACTCTCGTTTGAAATTGGCGAGCGCACTCGTCGAGGGGCTTGGGACTTGAGGGGAGGAAAAGAACAGAGAGGAGGCCTTGATGTGAGGCTCGGCCTTGAGCGATCGATCGCCGCCCAAATGTCGCTTCATCTCTTCGTAAGGAGAGCCAGCGATCACGGCCTCCAAGCGCGATTTGGGCGTGGGCTTCTTGTGGGAGGAAAGATGGCCGGGCAGATTCGGCTTGCGATCCGCCATGGAGCCTGTCGGTGTGGCACTCGATCGGCCGTGTAAGATCGACGAGCTGAGGCGACTGGTGGGCACAGGCGTGACAGACGGCTTCGGGTTTCGCAAGTGGGCGGAAGGAACAAAGCCTTGACTATCTAACCAAACCATCGGATCGTCGTCGTCCGACCAGGTCTTGAGATCGTCGACATCGATAGCTGGCTTGCTTGAGCCGAACGTTTTCGGTTTGACGTCGTCCACCTCGATCGGTGCAGTACTTTTGCCAAAGGTTTTGACGGTCGTGATCTTAGGATCCGAGTCACCGTCTGAGGTATCCACATCGATAATCGCGGGTCGTTGTTTGGAGGGGCTCGAGGTGCTCGTCCGCGGGTAACTTGATCCGCCCAGGTTGTCGTCAGAAGACGACAAATCGATCACTGGAGTCTGGCGCATGGGTTTGCTGGAAGCGCCAGAGCGCCCCGGGGTCATGTGCATCTTTTTGGCGGGTCGAGAACTCGTCTAGAAAGTAGCAAGTGAAAGAAAAGTCAGCAGCTTGGTCTGATTCAGCTTTTGAATCCGATCGAACGCACAGGTGGTGAGCTCGGAGTTCTTTTCGATGCAGTCTTGAGGACAGGAAAAATATATTTAACGACATGCAAGGTATGATAATCATAGATACAGATGACACAAAAAGCATGAGGAAAGTCTACTTACTGATTGGCTCCTGGAGGACGAGGGGGGGCGAGACAAATTGGGATTATTGTCGAGAGGAGTAAGACGATTAGGCTTGGTAACTTCGGTATCCAGGTTTAGGGTGATGGGCTGGACGGCCGCTTGAGAAGTCCTGCTCTCGGAAGCACGTTGCGGGATGGGCGAAGCTGAATTTCGCTCCTCCTGAAAAAAAAAAAAACAGAAAAAAAAAAAACTCAAGATTAGCCAGAATTTTCGAGTGCTAGTAGAGAGCAAGCGTACCCGACGGGCAACACGACGATCTCTGAGTGCTTCGTGATCTTCGTGATCCTGTTGTTGTTGCAAATAAGAATGAAGAAGTCAAGCAGAGTTCCCAACCAAGGCGAACAGGTAAAACGACACTAACAATGATGTGTTGCTGGAATTCGGAGAGTCCACCAACACCGGTCGAGCGGCCGCCGTCGGGTCGTTTGGTTCGTGGTTTGAGGGGGATGGAATAGGACGAGCAGCCGGGTTCGAGACACTTGATCATGCCAACTGAAACAATGACGTGGGAAAATGTGGGCAGTTAGGAAATGCGAAAGCTAGGGCAGAGTACAGAGAGAAAGGCAGTTTTTTTTTGACTTACAGCCATTACCTTCAAACGGCGTCAAGTGGTATAGAAAGTCGTGGGGAAACTCCTTCAAATGTGCGCGTAATTGCGAGAGGTATCCTTCGGGCACCTGGTAGGTCGAGAAGAAGATACGGGCCGGGGTCAGTTGCTGAGGAGGAGCCAATCCAAGGGAGAATAATGGAAATCTTACCGCGGCTGGTGCCACTTGTTTCTGGGCAAGTTTTTCGAGATCAGCCTCCGTCCGCGGCGGGTTGGCTTCGAATTCTTCAAAGGATGTCATTCTGGGGTCTTGTGAGAGACAATGGGAAGCTAGGTAAGGAGTCTAGCAGTGTGTCGATTGGTGTTTTTTCTTGAAGGGGGGGGTGGGGGGAGGGATAGAAGTGGGTGTGATGTTTATAGGGGAGTGGCTTGGCTTGTGGTATGAATTTATCCAGCCAGGCTGTGAAGGGGGTGCAGCAGCAGCCACTGCCAGCCGGATTGAGCGTGGGTCGAGACTCTGGATGGACGTCGCCAACGTTCGTCTCACTCTCAACGGGGCTTCACGTGAAAAAGGGGACGCGTTTGGATCCGACGGCAGAGGCTGTACAAGCAAACAATCCTATCCTTAAGCCCTTACATAAATGGTTTGACCGATCCTAACATAAGCCAAACAGACCCATTTGAAAATCGACAGACCCACCCCATCATCAACGCTGTCCTCAAACACCCACGCCCCGTCGACTTGATTCTCCCTTTCTGCGATAACAGTGTGCACACCAAACCCCCCAAACCAACAGTGCACGTCAGGATAAGATGGCCAAATTGGCTACGTTCTTATGCTTGAACACTGGTCTTGACCGCTGGGGGTGGATGAAAAGATTCGATGGGCAAGATAATTCACAAGTTGAAAAAAAAACCAGTGCTGTTAATGGATGCATGTCTGATCGGACGTTATTCATGCGCATGTATGCACCCTAGATTTACATGCAAGTGGAAACTTCTGGAAAGCTTAAGGGCGCGTACCACAGCGCTTCCCACTTTGAAAAACGATTCGGACCCATTTTTTTTTCTGCGCTTTTTTTTAAACGGAACCAAAAATCAACTCTTCCAAAAATGCGTACCACACACGCACTTCTTCATCTCGTCTATCTCACACATCCCTTGGTCCATTCCATATCCTCACTCACATCACAAACTATTCAACATGTCCTTTTTTCTACTTCTTATTGGTCACTTCTTCTCCGTTTGTTCCGATCGATCGTTCTTTCTCATCAATCATATTTTTCTACCTTTCCTATCAAGTTATTATTATGACTGTTTTTTGGTCACTGATTCTTAATGCGATAGATCAATCGGTCCGATTGATCGATTGCTTTTCTTTATTATTTGCTTATTGATTTGCTCATTGATTGTCTTCTTATAATCAATGCACAATCAATTCTTTTTAACAATCGATCGTTACTTTCGATTGTTTTTTTTGTAATCAATGCACGAGCGATCGTACTTTGCGATCATCGGTTGTTTTGTAATCAATGGACGATTTGATCGTGCTTTGCGATCTGCGATTGTTGGTTTTTTTGTGATCAATGGTCGATTCGATCGTTTTTGGTGGTAGTTGATCATCTGATCATCGGATAGGAGCTGGTGGAGAGATCTCAAAGAGAGTAGCAATGGCATCTATCACATGTAGAGTTGTATAGAGTGTCCGGTTGCTTGGGAGAAAGGTGGCATCTGGTGGCATGGTGCGTTTTTGCAAACGGGGGTGGGGCCGTTTCCTCAAACGGCAGCAAAAGTGAAAAAAACGATTCAGGGGTTGTCAAAAAAACTGGCCCCCGTGGTACGCATTTTTGGTCAAAAACGTTTACTGCCAAAAAAATTGGAAATTGGCATCCTGCGGGCGGCTATGGTACGCACCCTAAATCTCGGAATGCGTGATTGGGTTCAATTCGTGGTCTGCAAGAAAAAAAATGGGACATCGGAAAGTTGCGAGTTCCGTTACATAACAGAGTCTGAAATTCCGCAGCTCAAAAGGCGGATAATCTTTTTTTCCTGATTTTTTGTCTGAAATCGGTAATTGTGTATGTAAGCCAAATATCACAGATTTTCTTCTTTGGCAGATTAATTTTGATCCACTCCAAACAAAAGGAAGATCACAATAGGCCGGTTCACGTCTGAAGTTCAAGGCAGTTTTTAGCACATTTGTAGATAAAATTTTATGAGTTTTGTCAAATCTCATGAATCATCAGGTTTGGAGGAATTTGAGATTTACGACAAACTTGGAAAATTTTAGTGATAAATGCTATAAAACTTGCTCCAAAGTTCAGACGTGAACCGTCCTAATGCATTATGTATGTACTGTAGATTGCTCATTGCTTATCAAAGATCTGGAATGGATGAGACTCATGTAAAGAGGTAGAAGTTGAAGATTTTTTGAAACCAATCAGAACTTGTTCAACCAAAATGAGCTTGAATCAATTCACACAAATGGCTACAGCCTACAGAAACTGTTTGTATTTTATTCTAATTTCAGTCAACACTGTTTTAGCTTTAGTTTGAGTACTTTGAATGTCAAATTGGTTTTGGTTTGAGAAGCAAGCATATAGAGCTCTAGTGGCATATTTATGTAGATGTAGCTGTCATCAAATCTGCGCCAGTCTTGCAAATTAGTTTAAGCCAAGTACATTAGCTCCATATTTCAACTGCAGCATTCAGTACCTACCTGTTACCAACTTAGCTCAAAACAATAATGTTGGTTCAAACTTTGCTGGGTCAGGTACCTCTCAAGCATGTATCTAATTTTTGCTACAAGCAACCTGGAAAAAAACAAACCTTGTGCTAGTTTCCAACCTACCTCTCAGAATATTCCTTGTTAGATGCACCATGAATCATCTTCTCCATGCTGTAGATCTGCAGCTTTGAACTTCCTATTTGAGTATTATAGCCCACCTGGTTTCACTTCTAGATCAAATCTATTTACATTCACACTTTTTTGAGCTTTCCCATCAAAAGTACCTTTGAAAAATTCGGATAAATACCAAGACAAGTTTGTAAATTTAGACACAGGAAAAAATGATTTACTGCACTTTTGGGGTATCTTTGAATGGTCTTAAACTCTCTTCAGTTATGGTTGAAATTCATTTCACAAATACATTTTAGTATTGAATCTCGTCCTATATTTTAATTTCTTGACTCTCCTATATCATAGTCTTCACTCTTATCCCATATTTTAGTCTTGACTCTTGTCACTGACAGGATTTGGTACAGATTGAGAAATGCTTCAACAGTTGTTGACATCCCTTGCAAGTCATACCACTGCCACTGGGGCACGGGTCCAGGGGCTTGGATGGTGGATGGTGGTCCGGTCAGGTGGGGTGGTACCACCATCACGACAGGGAAACCAGCTGGAGCACCAATAACCCCAGTCAATCATTATCCCAAACTTGATCTTGCTAGGTGTTCTAGTCATACTCAGGAATCTTGAATTTATAGCAAGCACCGTTAGTCTTCCTTGATCAGATATGTCTGCAGGATACCCCCTCAAAGAATTGATATCCAGAGCAAATCATTTCAGGTTGGCCCTCCTGAAATGATTGACGCAATGATATCTTTCATGAATGAATATACCTGGGACTAATCAAGATGGGCTTTGATGTATCTTTGAAGGAATGTGACTCTTATAGGACATTTGGATAATTTCATTGGCAGCGATTACAAAACTGAAAACCTATCCTTGGTTCTTTATGAGAGTCAGTATTGAATGCCCAGTCTTAAACTCAGGGGCTTAGTGGTCCTATCATAGGGATCCTTGTTGAATTTCGTGTTGTTTCCTTGTGGTTTCAAAACATAGGGTGTGATGGATCAGAATCCGTAGTTCAGCTCAAGGCTTGGTCAGCTCCTGACAGATCAAAGCCTACTTTCTCTGAATCTGTTTGTCAAAATTACAAAAAGATCTCTAAGGGTGAGCTGTGTTGACCATTTCAAAATGCTCATTTTTAAACTGAATTTTGTCTTGTGTTGCATTGGGATCCACTCTGATTGCTCTCATTGATTGGCTAGGGCTCAAATTCAGCCCCAGTTGGGTTGGTTATTTCCTGACTCTGGTCTCATGGTCTTTTTTTGGTTACTAAAAACAGACCATTTGATTCTCTTTTCCTGTAGACAAATCACTGGGTTTGAGTCACTATAAATATACCCAAAGATCTTTGAGAGAAAGAAAGAGTTCAATTTGAGTTTGATCCAGGGCGTGTATCCTGTCCTCATTCTTCATTTATCAAAATAAATGCACATCACTCAGATTCATGACAGAAAAAAAAACAGATTTTTGTTGCCGCTGCATTCTGAAACTGCTCTCCATGCTCTTTTTCAACTATAGTTGTGAAGCTATGATATATGGTTCCGAGGGATTGCCGCTACAAGGGATCACTGGTGGTGACTATGGCTTACGCAGAGTTGAGTATATCATACCCAAACAGAGTAGGACGTTTCCACTCAGGATAATGGTAGGTGTATTCGATCTCATCCAAACTATGCCATGACTCTTGATGAGACGTTAGCATCAAATTTTCTAGAAATTCACCTGATTTCTTTCCCGCTAGCAATCATTGCTTTGAGTTTAATGCCCCCTTTTGCCAGTCCTTGCCTTTATTACATTGACCCGCTGACTTTTTTACTCAGTGGATGCTTGCAGCTCTGCACCAAGGGTTTACAAAAGGGTGAAGCGCTTTTAGAAGCAGCACATCAATCCGCACTCTATGGAAGTCAATCCCTCGTCATAGTGTCAGCCTCTCCTAGCAAAGGCGGCAGTTTCATCGGCTTGAACACACTTTCATTTCCCTGCCAAGAGACCATCCGGGTCCCGCTCAAGATATACAATGGTAGATCTGCATTTACCCTCAGTAAGGTCAACAAGGAATCTGGATTTGTTATTGCCCAGGACAAGATCAGAAATGGTTTGATTGAGCTCAAAAGCTTATCCAACCTGTGAAACAATATTCAACTTGCTACAAAGAAATCAAAGGAAGACTCTGAAGCTAATTATCTTTTTCCATTGTTTAGCTTTGGCAGTTTGAGACGTGAGCACAAATGAAATTCATTACATATTGGCTAATAAATTTCTAACTGTTGAAATAACCACTCGTGGCAGGATCATTAGAATTGTTGATACAGAATTAGGGTGATTGACTCTCATGGCTGGTGTGCCATATATTCATTCCCATTATTGACTAAGTCAAGCAATACATTTGTAGACAAGAACTAATTTTACCAGGCATAACAGCTGGCTTTGTGATTTACCAAGGTATGTTGAATGCCAAGATTTTTTTTTTTGAAGTAGATGATATGAAGTTGATCCAAAGTATCTATTAAAAACAGAACAACCATTGGCTAACAATGCATGGGATGTTGGGATACAAAAACACCTGTTGATTCAACCAGTGTACAAGTACTAGAGTCTGCAGGTTTGAGAGCCAGTCTAGTGGTGGATTATGTCTTCAACAAATCTAAAATCTTGGTGAGCAGCCGGACCCATGCATCTTTACCTACTTGGTTCTAATTCCTTTGTGGATTTGATTTCCGACTTGTGAGATGCTAGGCAATAATGTTGCTGGATGCTGTTGCTGGCTCTCCGAAAAAAAAATGTTTTTTCCATGATCAAGTTTGAGACAATTGATGACTGGTATGAGCTGCACAAATTTTTGAAATTTGAATTAACCTTGGATATCAACTCAGCACAAGCAACATACAAAATTCAGTATGGTGTCATACAGAGACCAACCCATAAGAACACCACATGGGATGCTGCAAAATTCAAAGTTTGTGCCCATTGGTTTGCAGACCTTTCAGAGTTTGGATATGATGTAGCGCTTCTGAATGACTGCAAATGTGAATCCAAGCGTTTGCCTCATCCTTTGCCCATATGGGACGTGATACTAACGTCTCTTCTGGATTTGCAGATGGGTATGCATGTCAAGGATCTTACTTGAGGCTTTTGTTATTGAGAGCCGCAAAATATCCTGATCCCCATCAAGACCAAGGGAAAAACCAAATAAATTTTGCCATCTTACTTCATCGAGGCCATTTCTTAGAAATTGATGTGCCACAAGTTGCTGCAGCGTTCAACAATCCACATGATTTCAGATAACTTCCACACTGTGCCGGGACACGTCATTGTTGGAGCCTAGTACTGATTTCTTCAAGCTGGAAGGGCTTGGCTCACAAAATGTTTTCCTGGATGTTGACAAGAGGTGTGTTGATAAATGCACACCCTCCCCCTCCCCTCCGCTCCAAAAGGGGTGTGCAATTGCATGCGTGCGATCAAGCCCACCCCTCTGAGACGGGCAGGTGGGATTGCACATCAACCAAGAACGGAGATAGCTCAGTTCTTGGTTGGCGGGCAATTGTCGAGAGGTTCAAGATGATGATCAGCAAGATGAGCACCAAGGAAGCTATCCTTGAAATGGGCGACATTCATTCTCTTTTTTCATGTTGAGGGAACACAGGGACTGAAACTAGGCTGAGCTGTTGAGACTCACAGCATTAGCTTGACTAGAGAGTTGCGGTAGTATTTCAGTGAGGAGAGAGAGGAGAAATCAACCGGTAGAGTTGTAGATGTGATGGGCTTAGTATAAGCATAACTGTCAGCTCCTGTCTCTTATGTGACTAGGAGTTGATGAAGGAATCAGGTCACACTATTGTTGTTTACACAACGTAGTGGAAAAAGGTTGCACTCTAGTTGGACAACCAATGTAGTGGAGATAGCCACTGTCTTATACTTTAGTATAAGAAAGGCTGCTCCTTAGGATTATAAGGGACAACAGCGGCACGCTGCGCCAGGCTTATGACAAGAGAATAGGTATTTACTAGTCTAGTTACACAGGTTAACAGTACCTGACTAGTACAAAATAGAGGAAATAGAAATAGTATGTAATGTAAATGTAGACTAGATTAATAAAACCCCACTCATTTATTGTACTGTTTGTAAATAGGTAAGGATGGCGGGTTTGTACAGTAATCTCTGGGGGAAGGAATCCTAGAGGGAAAGCCTTCCTCCTTAACACTACAAACAATACCAGTTTCGCCCCAGGAAAAAATGGAAATTTGGGTGGTGGATAATATTTCCCTTCCTGAGGCTTTTTTATAAAAATGCCTCAAATGAGCTAAAAATCAATTTTGGAATATTTGAGGCATTTTTATTTTTGGGCTAAAATAGCTCATTTTAGCCTAATTTTTACTCCTGAGTCATTTTTTAAAAAAAGCCTCAGGAAATTGACCTATTTTCCACCACTCAAATTGACATTTTTTCCTGGGGCAAAACCGGTATTGTTTGTAGTGTAAGTGTTACAGAGCAGAGATCAGACTGCTTGTAGGACCGGTACAGTCCCCATAGTATTACATTATTTATTTGGGGAGAAATGTCAAGATACTCTATGAAGATTAAAGTACATGTGAGGAAAATCTCTCTTATTTCAGAAGATACACACAAGAGAGATAAACTGGACTTTCAGTATTTACAAGAGAGATACACAGGATAATAATTTCTTTGATAATCATAAGAGATAATTATCCTTTTCAACTTGAGTATAACTTTCAGGAAATAGGAAAATCTTTATTAATTTACTAAATATTTATTAACATAAATAATACAAATAAAAGAGAATAACATTACTGTATAACTATTAACTTAAAGATTACATATGTTAATATTTATTATGTAACCCAAAGGGGTTACATTCTATTGTAGACACCTGGGCTAGTGTCTCAGTGTCTGACAATAACTCAATACAAGCATGTGACATCTAACATACGGGTATTCTAACATTTCACTCTCTTTGCTTTCTGTTGGTGTTGTTGTTTTTGGTTTTCTGGGGGTTGGGTTGATGGGGTTTGTTCTTTCCTGATCTTCTTCTTCTTGTTGTTGTTACTGGCTTGATTGAGGAGTGAGCTGTTTCTTTGGAGTGAAAGAGAGTGGTGTGGTTCTTGTTGTTCTTTGCTTTCCTGACAAGATCTAGCTTGATGTCTGCCTTGGCACGCCCTGCTAAAAATTATTCCAGGTTGAACTCATATCTTACAGAATCCTGGAAGACTATACTATGCTAGTCCCTGATTTTTTTTATGGAGTATCATTATACTTGGAGCACTCGGAGGACGTCTGATTTAATGGGACAAACAATCCCATCAGGGGTCATGATCCATGTACCAAATGCGGCGTAATTTGATTCCATTCTGTGAATCAAATCCCTGATGTGTTACTGACTTGACGAGACAATCTGCCACTACAGCCTTGCTTACATGAGCAAAACATCCCCGTACAGCCTTGCTTACATGAGCAAAACATCCGGGGATGTTTTGCTCATGTAAGCAAGGCTCCAACCAAGAACCGAGCTATCTCGGTTCCTCGGTTCTTGGTTGGCGTGTGATCTGGGGCGGGCTTGATTGCACACCCCTCAGTAGCATGATTCCTCAGAAAATCAGGCTTCCAAGGGGCATGTGATCAAACCCGCCCCTCAGAGATGGGCGGATGCGATTGCACACCCCTTTTGGAGGGGCAGGGAGGGGGAAGGTGTGCGTTTATCAACGCACTGTCAAGAGAGGTGGGGACAATATATTCAACTTTCCTTCCCGCATGCCCATACGGACTGTTGTAGTTCAACTCTATGAAGCTTTAGGCTGTTTGGCAAACGTCAACTTGATAACGTGAGCTCCTTGGTTATTGCTATTAGTTCTGGACCAGTCAAAGTTGGTTGTTTTGCTAACCTCACTCTCACTCAATCAATGTTCCTAACTTTTCAATTGATCACAGGTCGTTACAAGCCAAAGAAATGTTTGTGGTAGATATACTTGAAAGGGAAATTGAACTCATTCAACCACATAACTTAAATCAAGGTATTGGGAAGTCTTCAGATTCATCCCACCATACTCTGCCCTAACATTCATCAATAAAGAACAATCAAGATCAATATCCAAAACAAGTGATTGGATTGAAGTTCAAAGCCTTCCAAATAATGACTCTGAAGTTTGTCATTTGATGGAAAACCAACATTTTCTGAACAAGGACCTACCAGAGTAAAAAAGCAATAATGTGATTCACTTATTTAGTTATGAATATGTTTTTTGATTTATGTAGTCTATATCAAGCAAGCAGCAAAAAAAGACCCTTTTTGTTGTATTCTTACATATCTACTTTTAACTATTAAGGCCCTGTTTGGCTGCAAAGCATGATTTGTGATTTGGCTAAGGTTTGGTGCGGATTTGGACCGTGCAATATAAAACAATACTTTTTTTTTCACACACTCCTGCCAAATCTTGACTCAAAATTACAAATTACGGATGGCCAGATGAAGCTGAACTCCTGCTAAATTGTTTTCAAGTGTAAAGCAGACACTTCCAATAGTGGGGTTAACATTTGGATTTTTCCAGGTGTGAGTTTAGTGAACCTGAAAATCCAGATAAAAGTAATTTTCACAGATTACAAATAGGACAGGATAAAATTTTGTGAAGTGGTCAACATAGGCATCTTTTAGCTGTGATGAACTCTGGAATTGGATTTTTTTTGAATGAGATTTCCATGATTTTCAAATAGATAAATCAATCACATGAGTTGTTTTTCCTTATTTTATTGGTTTGCCCTGGAAATGAGTTTGAATAATTGTGCCAGTGGGTTGAGCAGAAGAATTCAGAGTTGAGCTGACAAATCTGAGGTTCAATTGCTCCCCATGGCCTCCCAAATGGCTTCTAAATTCACTTTCCAAGGCTTACTAAAGAGTTGATCATTGTCAGATTATGATAGAGGGACAGCAAAAGATTCTAGGCACCTGCTCATCAAAAGCAACAAATGGGGGTACATCACCAAATGTATTAAGACAAGCAAACACATGTCACTGGATATATTTCATACTTTATATGAGACTTCCAAGACATAATAAGAAAGTTAATCTGGTCTTGCATGTGCATCAAGAAATTTGAATGAACGTTGAAACAGGCCAACAACTTGAGTGAAATAATTGCGCTCACTTCCTTGAAAGACTCTCTGAGAGAAGCGAGGATGTTGGGTGAAGTACCAATAGCCTAACATTGAAACTGAAAATTGAAAGAATTCTGGGACGGTGATTCCTTTGTAAAGCCTTTTGATCATGTAAATCTGGAGTTCACCAAATTGATTTGTAAAGTCAAATTGATCTACATTATCTGGTAGCAAATCTCTGACGAACGACTCGTTTTCGTTTTCTGCAATCAACAGGTTTCCATTTTCTGGAATCTTCACTCGGTCTTGAAAGTGACCAATCCCAAGGATTGGTAGACTGCGAGTGCTTTCTTCAAAGGCTGCTTTGTAAAACCAGGCCAAGAATTCATTGAACGGAAGTTTAGTTTGACTTGGATGTTTTGCTGATAAAGATTGTTGCAATGTTTCATGTATACAATTGACCCATCCAAGCAATCTTCCTAATCTACCTAGGAGATCTTCTTTATTCAAGACGTCGACAGTACTACGCCTGAGAAGTCTAATGCAATCTTTTTCATTTGGAGTTTGTCCGGGATGGATTGTGATTGGGAGGCCTTCACAAATAAATTTAGGTCGTCTGGTTCCACGCTGGGGGAATTTTTCAAACATTTTCTCAACGTTTTCTAGGAGTGCGGTGACCTGACTATTAACACCCTTCCCAAGAAAAGGCATGTTATTGCGGGGTATCTGAAAAAGTGTTCTTAATCTTTTGGGAAGCTGATTTTTCAGTATCTCGGACAGTGCTCCAAGCTGAAATAGATCAATAGTTGAGATAGCCTCTGGGAATTCAGAATTCCAGTCTGGAAGGGGATTCCTACTTCTTATTGTTTTTCGAATGTCACTGTCCATGGATATCCAGAAGTCTTTATCAGAACTGAAATGGCTAATCCATGTATTTTTATGGAATACCTTGTACCAAATCCCAACAACAGCGGCCGAAGTAAAGTAGACGCCATCATTCCACGTTTCGTGTGACAGAAGCTTGATAAGTTCAAGTTGAACTGGTCGGAAGCTCTTGTCATCGTAAATTAGATTTCCCTTTGGAAGCCGACCTAGTATAGGAGGTGGAGAGCCAACGGGCTCGAAGATTTCGGAGAGCATCCATCTGAATAGGTTTACGCATCTGTTTTTCTGTTCTTCTGGATCGGTTATCTTAAGTCTGGCTAATAATCTGAGGTGTATGTACGTGACCCATCTTGCCAAAGGTTTGCACGCATTTCGCAGGCTGGATGGTGTTTTTGCCCTTTGCGTCTTAGGGTCCAAAGGACGCGAGACGGGGATAGCGGCATTCATGTTGGTGGGATGCCAATCATAGGCTCGCAGCGGTAACCTTTCGAATGGTTGGTACTTTGCCTTCCGGAGGGAGCCAGTCTTGGGACATTTCTCCTCCAGCTTTTTGTTCATGAGCTTTAGGAAAAACTTGGCGGTGGGTTCTTCAAGGCCGCCTTTCGGAAACCGATAGGCGGGTAGAGACTGGTCGGCTGGTTCCATGCCCTGCCACATCAACTTTTGCTGAAAATCACTCAGACTTTGCGAGTAGGCATGACCTGAATCCAGACTGCCCGGGCGTGATTGTTTGACTGCACCTGGGTATTCATGAGCCGGAAAATGTGTTTTTGAAGAACTGGGTAATGTCGAATCACTTGAAGATTGACCCAAAGACTTACCGTTCACGTCCAAGGCAACAACAAGATCAAACGCTTCTTGTGTTGGCTCTAAGGCTTGGAAATGATCTACTCAGTTAATCATTCAGAAGTGATCTACTCAGTTAATCATTACTTTGTAGGAACAACGTGTGAATAGAACAATTTTAGGGAAAGTACAGACCTTTTACATCCTCAAAGCCACTCAATGGTGAATGTCCACTTGAGTGGCCAAATCTTGTCGTCGAAATGCTCTGAGAAAGGTCGCAAGGCCTACCATCCATGCCTAATGCAACATTAAGATCGAAATTTCTCATTCTTGTCACCGAGTCGGTTTGAAGGTTTGAAGAAACTGTTTGTGGTATGCGCTGCTGATGATTATTCAAACGGCTAAGTCTTGGCCTTTTTTTGCTTTTACCGAGTATTTTCTTTGATGGCACTTTGGATTCGGGCAGAGAAAGCGGAAAAATGTCCGACCGATTCTTGATCTGAACGGGTGTACTCCACTTGCGAGATCGGGATCCTGGAATATCTCCAGCACTTCGACTGGGTCTTTTCCGCTTTGTTCCCCAGGTTAGTGGCGGCAAGTTCTTTTGAATTGAGACATCAAGCCTGTGTGATTGATTTGGAAGGGAAGACACCACCTCCATGATCTCTACGCATGATGCTTGTTTGATGTTGGCAACAAGTGAAAGGCATGTTATGAAGTGAAAACAGATGGTAGAAGGACTCGCAACGATCCAAGCCATGACTACAGGGCAAAGAGCCACTTGATAATCGCTGAGAGGATGATTGTGGCGGGATCCCAAGCCAACACCCGAAGTTTTTGGAGCCAAAGGCACTACGGACCAAACCGTCCCAAGGCAAAAGGTCACATGCTAACCGTATACCAAAACGCAAAAAGTAACCGAAACTTGGCGGTGAGTGTGACGCCGTTTGGAAGAGACAAATGTATTGATCACCTGTTTCGGCAGTAGGTATCTAAATCGTTTTGTGTCAGCTTTCGGGAAAAAGAACGCTATGAAACTGCCACTAGATATGAAAATATCGCTTGCATCCGGATGCACATGATAACCATAGCTGGGGTACATATTTAGACGTCTCGTCAGGTCTCGTCTAACCCTAAGCCTGGACAAGTATCATGTGCTTTTGTACAGGAGTTTTTGACCTGGAGGTAAGTGCGGTTGGGAACTACGAGCTATGTCTCCTTTGGCGATATGTGCAGTCGGCTTTCAAGGATTCGAATGTTTAATGTCATAGCACAAACCCAAGTCGGCGGCCGACCTTTTTGCCCTTTGCTGCCACCCGAGCCGAAAGAAGAAACATGGCTCGGCAGCCCGCATGTCAAAAGGCAGATGATCGTCAATCGCGCCCGTTCTGGCGAGGGACGTTCGCAGAACAGCTTCCAATGCCAGAAGACATTTGCCCTCATTTGCCTCAATACTTCACCGAAAAAGAAATCAACCGAACGCGAAAATTACATGTGAGTGAAACTCGGTCTGGACTTGGGGCCCAATCACCTCCGGACTGCATCAAAAAGTGAAGCCGATGACTCTGGCCGGGCTCGAACCGACGACAACATGCGAACACCCGGATCGGTGGATCGTGTTAAGCATGTGCTCTACCAACTGAGCTACAGTGCCACAATGGAACTTCGATGACGTAATGCCGCCCCGCCGGAGTATATGAAGCTCATTGCCGAAGATTGTTGCGTTGTGGAAGAAAAATATACTATAATGCTAGGATCATGACATAATTTTGATTGAAGAGAAAAAGAACACTGAATCTGATAACATGCGTGGTACATAGGTCATCCATCCAAAAGTTAGGACATTCATTCATTTACTTAAGTCAACTAACCAGTCAAGGAACCCTAAGGAAGACATGAAAGCTTCCAGGCAAAGTCTATGCTATGGTAAGTTTTTATCTTACCAACTCCATGGGAAGTTTTGCATACCATAAATGAGGAGTGTGTGGAGACAAAATAACACTTACATATTTGGGACCGAGTTTCAAGAAAATTCCTATAACGTTTCAGGAATCACCAAAACTCAAGCTTAGCTACTACCCTTCTTGGACCCAAAGATCCTTCCCTCAAAGGACTTGAAGGAGGGAAATTCTGAATCAACCAACCAATCAATTAAGCTAGGCAAAGGCCAGGCTGAGGGATGAAGAGTAGAAAGAAAGTGGGCTCATTTGGTAATTGAAATCCACTAAATAAATTGGGTCAAGATATGAGACACCTTTTGGCTCTGTTGCCCTAATCATCTTGTGTTGCAAGCATTGGAATGGACCTTGATGAGCCAATTAAATAAAATATGTACAATAAGTTTGTTTTACAGACATCTGGGCCTCACATTCCATCCGCCCACTTTCCGTTTGGCATTACACATTAAAAGAGCAGTCGTTACTTGACAGGTACGCAGAGAACCAACACATCAATTGATTTATTTTAGGATGAGCTAGAGACCATGAGACCAGAGGGGAGCAAGCGAACGAGCTCCTCATACTTCTTTTTCCACTGGAGGACGTCGCCTTTTCTACGTTTAAAGACGACGCCCCATTGAGGAGAATTTTCGGGCTCCGCCTCCTCATCAACATCCATCCCGTCGCCGGGCATGTTTTGTCGGGCACCATCGATCGGGACGATCGGCTCGATCCTCAAGGAGCCCATCAGCTTCTGCTTCCGATTGTCGATAAATGAGACGGTGATCTTGACCCCAGAGGTGTGATCACTTTCGGCATCCGTCGGCGGGTTTAATGGCTTCACGAGATGCTTCACGCCCAGTGTGTCTAATGCTTGGGTGAAGGCTTCGATCAGATCTTCGATCGCTGACTCCGAAATGAACATCGTCGATAAATTCGCGTGCTGCATTTTTTGAGAGGCTAAGACAGGGTCTGCAGTCTATATATCGAGTTGACCCAAAGATGATAGAGATGGTAATTAATTACAGTGTCTCTTGATCATAACAAGTATTGTCGGTAACTTACAAATAGCCGCACAGTGCAAGAGAACGGCTGGGTAGGGTTCATATTCAAATCGTTTTTGAATCGAGTGCCCAGTTGAGATTGAGCAACTTCTTGAGACAATGGAACATTGGAGCTCTCTCCTCCATCTAGCGAAATCTCGATAGCCGGCGTATTTACCAATTCCGAAGCTCTATATCGGGGCAGAGATTCTTTTGAGTATATCAGAAAGATCAAACACGAGCTCAAGAGAATCACTTACAATTTCCGGACTTCATCTTCCTCATGTCTGCCTTCAAGTTCGCCTCGTTGTTTGGCTAGTCTGACGGCTAAGTTCGCACCGGACTTCGCAAGTCCTTCGGCGTTCATCAAGGGATTTTTCCTATTTGTTGAAACGAAAAATGTCAATTGAGATGGTTGTGGTGAGAAAAGCTTTTGGTCTTGTTCTGTGAGGTGGGGAAACCAAGTCAAGTGACATGAAAGTTTTTGTTTACATTCTGAACCAAGGGTTTTTGACCAACTGGGGTAATGTGATTCTCAATTCTGGATCGATGTTCATCAATTCTTGTAAAAGAGCTAGTGTGTTTTTTTTGGAGAGAATTGGCCAGATGACATCAACATCCACGAAGAAAGAAGATGAAAGCAGAGAGATCAAGTGAAGGTTCATTGGAGTCACCTTTTAGTTCAGGGTTTATCCGACACCAAGGATCCATGCTCCAAATAACGCCATTGACATAAGATACAAACTCGGGACTCTCCATCGTCGGATTATCCCATGGGGTATCTGACAGAAGGGAAGATACATTATTGAAGAATTGTAACTTTTAAAATGGATTTGGAAAAAGTGATAGACGTACTGCCGACAAGAAGCACATAGAGTATGATACCAGAAGACCACAGATCGATGGCGGGTCCGTGGTAAGGTCTCCCAAGGGCCAACTGGAGAAGCCAGAAATCGGTCAGACAGTTCCTTCACGTAGATGTTCATAGTGGATGTGTGTCTTGCGATTCAAAAAAGTCTCGGATCAACTGCTGGACGCGTACTTACTTCTGGTGCGGCGTAGGGCGCACTACCGCATACCTCGCTTAACATCCTTTCTTTCCCGTTGTGTTTGTAGACCGAACATAGACCAAAATCAGATATCAAAAGGTTTCCTCGTCCATCTAACTAAGAAGTAAATGAATAAATGAAAGAACACCTTGTCTCCCGCATATCTTATTTATCCTTTCACGAATCTGACACTCACCAGGATATTCTCTGGCTTCAAGTCTCGATGAACTACGCCCTTGGAGTGACAGAAGTGCTAAGAGGAATAAGAAAAGACTGAGCCCCTTATCTTTTTTTTAAATGAATTGAGTTCAAAAGAAGTACATCGGATTTTCATGAGGCACTTACCAGACCTGACATTAATTGTCTAAAGTAAAAATGGATCACTTCATCGTCATTACAAAGACCAACATCCGGAACTAGAGTGATCAAATTTTAAGCAATCAGAGATTCAGAGGTTTTTTTTGTTGCTGCTTCCTATAGGTGGGAGAGAGAGAGGTGGAATACCCAGTTGATCAAACAGATCACCACCGACGGCATAATCCAGGATGATATAGAAAGCAGGAGGGATCTTCCGACTAGGAATACCCTCCTGATCCTCCACACTATCGATTAATTCCAAGATATTTGAGTGTTTCAAGGCTGTGTGAACCTTGATTTCCTTCTTGATTCTCTTGTAGGATTGTTCGTCCAACGTGGGTCCAGATGAAGCGTTGACCAAGGAGATGACTTTGACTGCCGCTATGCACGGGGGTGGTTTGTCCGGATTGAAGGCCTTGTACACCCTGGAAGACCGGATACACGAAGCGCGCCAATCTTGGTTAGCCATGTTACGAGTCCTCCTTTCGAATCTGGTCATCCGCTTACTTGGAGAATCCACCCTGAAGACCAGAATGACCAGTCAAGCTTCAGTATTTTGTGAGATTTAACGTCAGAAATTTGAACTCGACCACTTACCTCCGCAATGTCAGGACCAATGGAGTAACCTTTGATCGGTGGATATGGCGAATTGGCATATGCCATCTTTCTAAATGATTGCGAAGGTTTTCTGTGTATCTGCTCGTCTCGCCAATCGTCCTTTCCTGTCAAACGCGCTCTTTAGGGTTGACGGCGCCACATTTGAAAATGTGCGCGCCAGTGGGCGCCTACAAACCTACCACCAAGTGCGCGCCTTTGGCAGGCGCAGTAGCGGCGAGCCTAGGCGAGGTTTTTTTTTCAATGAAAAGAATATATACGTTGTATTCCGTTGTATTTGGATTGTTGTTAGGCTATTTACAAGTGAATGAAGATTCCTTGATATGAGAGAAAAGCTGGGCAGGCTTCGCTTGGTTGAACACCCTTTGGCAGTAGGTACATTTAGCTTGGCACCTTCGAGATTGGTCCGTCCGTATGTTTGACATTAAGAATCCAGTCCATAGCAGACCATGATATTTTGTTGGCTTAGACCATCCTTGCAGCTCTGAATTGCTTGTATTTCTTGTGGTGGCATGTCAAAAATATAGAAAGATGATGTACATAGTACATATTATTATTGTATAAAAAGTTGGAGGTTTAAGAGAACTACATTTGGAATTGGCAGTACCAATCTCAATACAACCTGCAAGCCTCAAGACGTCTTCCGCACTCACATGTGTGAAAAAAAAGCTAGAAACTCATAGCAAAGCGGTGACATACTCCCGGACTAGCTTACGGAGCTTTCAGGGTTGCCCTTTCAAACTGGAAAAGTCACTCGGCCTCCAGCCCTCCCCCTCTAAAAATTAGGGTTAGAAGTGCGCGCACACCCCCCTTTTTTGGAAAAATGTGCGCGCCGTGGGCGAGGGTGCGAGGCGCCCGCACATCGGCGCGCACCTAGGGGTGGCGCCGTCAACCCTAGCGCTCTTGAAGAACTTTGAGAAGTGCATACACACACAAAGGAAGGACGAGGTCAGCATACATGTCAAAGCAGGGCAGCTTCGGGGCCCCGTTGGGGACCCCGCATGTAACTTTAACTCTATGTAAACTGCGGAGTTGTCTGTTGACTGTCGAGCCCACACTCGGCCGGCCAGGGCCCAGAGAATTACAAGCGACCATGTTGCTCAACATCGAAGGAACGACGAGCTTGCTTGCCCAAGTTGTAACTCCCGGGACGTTTCTTGCCGCGCTCATTACCTTGGACGGACGGGTTGTAGCCTACCACATTCATCCGAGTGCGATCGTAGCCGACGAGGACGACGAACAGTCGGACGGGAGCGATCAGGCGAAGATCGCAGCTGCAATCGCTAGCGGACTGTGGCGCGAGGACTGCTACGATCGTCCCTTATCATCCAACTCTAAAACCGAATTGGCAAACGAAGTTCGTAACTTGGATGCCGTTTGTGAAGTTCGCACACATCTCTAATCTTCCATTGTCCCTTGAGATTGTTTTGTCAAGCTTGAGGCTTACCTAACTCGGTAAATTTCTTTGGCACATAGTTGGGCCAATTGCGTCTCAATTTTACACCTCCCTTTCTACTCGTGCTCGTCGGAAAGGCCGGCTCAGTTTCTACGGAAACATTATCAATGAAGGTGAGCCCAGAGTTCCCCTCCTCTCTCTCTCTCTCTCTGGCCTTAAACCACATCTCATTTGGAGTACATCTGAATCCGGAAGTTGACCACTGTGAAATTCTGGATTTTGAATGGCTCGACAGGCCCAGTTACTACAGGATCAGTTGAAAGGGCCATTTTCCAATATTTAGGAGTCTTAGTTTCTCGCCGGCCCACACACACTTGCATTCTTGCCAGCACTTCATATTGTATTTGTGTTTGTTGTTCATTAGGTCCCAACTATCCTGTAATTCTTGAGGACGCACTGGGGATGAACTGGTGATCTGAATTCTAATATAAACCTCTCCATAAACCCAATCTAATGTACATACATCCACACCTAATGTATCTTACCTTTTTCCTCGTTATTTCTCTCTCAGTTTCACTGCGTGATGGTGATCTATAAGGAAAATATGCTTATCATCAGCCAAAAAAAGTACTTTCTTGAACATCTGTGACAATCTGTGTGTTGATTCATTCAACTCACATTCAGTCTGCTGATTTGTTCAGTCAGCACAGCAAAAATGAATGTGTCCGCTTGCTGATTAGCGGTTGCTTAGCGACGTTCAGTTTGGTAAGACCATGATTGACAAGTAAAAAAAAGTCAACTGTTGTGTCGAATTATGATGAGTGGGATCGGCAGAGAAAAATCTGGACGACCGTCATGAAGGTCCGAAGGATCACACTTAGAGAACAAAAAAAGGTATTGTACAATGATGAGCGATAACAATAGAACCCAAAGTGAGCGTCATGAGGAGCACAGAAGACAGCAGGAAGCACGCTCGCAACAGGAGGATACCATGAGTTGCGAAGGCAACATAAGCGTCTGCCCGAAACAACAGAAATATATATGTACAAAAATGAATTTCAAGAGGACAAGTGCCCACCCCCCCTGGGAGCAGTTTGCACTTATAAAGCGCCTTCAAGGCAGGCTCTCGGCATCAATAACCGCTCGTCTTTCCAAATCGACACCTTTCTCTCCACTCCTGGCTGCTTGTGTCGTTGGTAAAATCATAATTCATCTGAGTTGCTTGTCGTCCGGCCGTTGACATCCTTCCTTCACCGTATCATGAATCTCCCAACACCCCTTCTTGCAAGCTTCGGCTGATTGCGGCGAGCATTTCCTCCCGACTTCGTCCTTGTTCTTCTTCTTTGATGCAATCTCGTGCGTCCGTTTCACACAAGCCAGGATATCCTCAACAATCGAACCAATCAGCTTTTCGATTTCCGCTCCGGTCATCCGCCCAGTGTCGATGACATCGGCCAGGATGGGTGTGGTTGTCACCTTGAGCGCTTTGCACCTCTCCTCCCAAAACAGCCGGACCGATTCGGCTTGTTCCTTCAACCTAGTCGCTTGGTTGAAAGAAGAGTTGGTTGCCAGCAACCGACGATGGGCAACAAACTTCAGAATTTCGATGGTCTTGTTAAGGGCTCGCAAACCCGACTCAAGGGTGTGCTTGACATCAAGTTCACCCGGCGTACGCTCCTCTCGATCCTCGACCACTTCTATCTCCGTCTCCTCAAGCACCTCACCCTCGATTTCTTCCAGTTCGACTTCACCAATCATGACAGTCCCTGGTCCGTATCCAACGACAGCATCCATTATGACCCCTCTAGCCACCGTCTCGACCACCAGCCAACCGAATTCTTTGGCTAAGAAGTACATGTGCTTGCACCCGCTCGCATATCGAGCGAAGTGTTGGCATGTACAACATGTCAACTGGGTTTTTCGGCCGTTTTGTCCAACTCGGTAGAACACCAGGTATGTTCCGAAATCCGGTGAGGTAAAGGAATCGCATCGGAACTGATGGGCAGGGGGGAGTGTCAGACACATATACTGTACGAGGGAGGGAGGTGAACGAGACCTTCTTACATAATTAGAGTATTGTATAATGTTTACTCCCAAAGCCATCAAGAAATCCCGGGTAAAACTCTCACCGAGACCTTTGGCGCGTAGCTGAAACTTGTTGACTGTTTGCTTCCTGATGCCTCTGTGTACTTGCGTTGCTGCCATCTGATAGTTTGGAATTACGTCGTCTTTGAAAATTTGTATCACCTCGTCTACACGGTAACGTTCATTTCTTGCCAAGTATTTAGATTTGAGGATCCGGTGCCAACTCTCCACGTAATTATTGGTGTGAATGCCTTGATGAGCGGTCTATGAAGTGCAATGGTTAGTGCTTCTGTGCAGGGTGTTGGTATGTAGCAAAAAACTTACAGTACGATAGCAGGTAGCCCAGTTGCTGTAGTGCTTGTACCACTGCTTGTGTACGTACTTGGCAAAACTCATGCTGATCCTGTTCCACTTTGACTGGAATTCTTGGTAACTCTTCTCGGGATCGGGCATGTCTTGGTAAACTAGCTGTCGAAAGTCTTTGACTGCTTCGTCAGCCTTGCTCTTGTCATGTAAATACCGCATCGCTCCTTCCCCGTATGCTTTGAGGACATGATATAAACACCAATAATGTTTCGGTGCAGCTTGGCCTGCGGGTCTGTAAGCGTTTGCCACTGCGTTTGTAATAGCGAGTGCACAGTCGCTCATTATTGATTGTGGGATCAGGCCGGTGGTTTGTTGTAGCCAGGCAAACACGAGTTGCAATGGTGATCTGTGTTAAAGATTATAATAATCAGTGAGCTTGCTTCTTCATTGATGAATCTTGAGCAGATTGATGAATCACACTCACGCGGCTTCCGAAGCGGTGAAAGCCCAGCATACCGGGAGGCCTTTCCCAACGACTGGGTCCCGGATGACAAAGGTGTACAAACTGACTTTTCTCCCATCCGAGAAACAATAATTGCTGACAGAGTGGTGTGTTGCGTCGACCATAAGCATGCCCGAGCCGTAAGTCAACATCATTTCCTTTTGCCAAGGGCTTTGGAAAGCAAAGAGCCAGTCGTCCGATGACTCTTGAAAAGGTAAGAATGTGTTCCAGCCCTGGTCAACTAGAGCAGTATTCCACAGCCGAATTGACCGGAACACATTATTGTGTTTCTTTGATAAAACCTCGATCCGTTTTCGAATGAGGTGTCTCACATGGTTGTACCGTATGTAACACCCTTCTTCAACAGCAACAGACTCGTCCATCTGTGTCAAAAATGAGAGAAGTGGTGTAAGTTTGGTTGTTCTCAAAGGATCGGGTACTCAGTACCAAGAAGTTTACACTTACTCCAAAAAGCTCGGGACAGCGAAGAAGCTTCTCAATTGCATGCCATCCAAGGCCTGAGACAACCCGCTCGTTGAGCCATTGGTCCACCACCTGTGGCCGTCGCTGCAAAGCCATATCCTCATGGGAGTAAGGGTTGTGATTGTGATCCCACCACCAAACGACTCGGAGTGAATTGGTTGCAATGTGGTGAGAGATACTGAACCGAGCTGAGCAGCCCGTCTTGCGGGATTTGACCTTCTTTCGAGAGTTGGGAACAGGTTCATACACACCGCTAGATGGACATTGATATTCAAGTTTGAAAAGATGTTCGGTGCGTTGTCCACTGGGGTTGGACTGGCCAGGTGTGATAATCCCAGGAGTGTTGCGCCTGCATGTTTTGCGATTCCATCGGATGGTTCCCTGCATGGCACGTACAAAAGCCTGTGCGTCTTCGAGGGTGTGGCCCGGGATGGTGAAGGAATGGGGATAGTCAGAGAAAGAAGGAGGAGTACCCCCCATGAGCCGGACCAGACGCAAGGCATTTGGTATCACAGAAAGAGTGTCTGGGGCAGTAACTTCCTGGGTGAATGGAAGGGGAACAACATCAAAAATATCTGCGACGGGTGGGAAACTGAGGTGACGTTGGATGGTGGCGGGGCGCTTCATTATGTATGTTGAAGGGGTGTAGAAAATCAGATTGCTAAGATGACTTGATACGATTATTGATGGGGAAATGTTAATGAGAAAGAAGCGAGTTCGGGTCCAGAGGTAGCAGAATTAAAATAGGCGGGTGTAGTTACCAAAAAAGATATGAGCAGATAGCTGCCAGGATGTTGGAGAGTAATCAGAGCAGCGTTGTTGTAAGAAAAAGTAGCCTAGATGTAAGTAAGAAGCAATGGTATGAGAAGTGGAAATAGAGTTGGCTTTCCGGGATAGCAGCCAGTACAAAAGAAGTCGACAAGAGGGTGAGGGTGCAAGACAAAGTAGCAAGCCTAAGTAAAGATCAATATTATGGTAAATGCACAGAGGCAAAGAAATGGGTTATGCTGAGAGTACCAAATGGCCTGAGAGGGAAGCATTTATATAAGAATTATCCTCCCCAAGGGAATGAGGCCCTTACAAAAATTCTTTCCGATATGTCCCCTCTAAGTCTAACTGGTTATGGGACATTTGTCACCTTTGGGGGAGCGCTGCCTGTGTGCCAGTCATTACTTTTCTCGGTCATGATCATGTGGTGCTGTGGGATGGTCTTGACCTTTGCAGAATGAGAGGCTCAGGACTACCCATGGGGAGGAAAACCGGTTGCCGCCTTTCCATATCATTTCCTTCACTATCAATTTGCATACTCTAGGACGATCACTCAATAGGGGATAGCGAGCGCCTACATTCATTTCGGGGTCAGCACAGGGGTCTGACTGTGAGATTCTAGATGTTCTCTGATCAACCCTCACTTCACTGTCCATCTCAACTCTGGTATGCTGCTCAGGGCTTGAGGATGGAGCCATGTACACCACATGTCAAGCATCTTTCTTTCCTGCTTCATTGAGGCATTGAGGAAGGGAGTCAAATTTTTGTTGTGACCTAGGTCACATGGTGTGACTCGGCTGCGGCTCAGCCAGCCGGAGGAGACTACATCTGTCTCCTCCGGGCCACACTTACCGGTGATCCATACGGTTTACCCCCCTCTGAGTCACTACAGGTTATGAGCCTGCGATACCAGCTACGCTGAAGAATCTCGAGCCGACGAACCATACCGGATTTTTTTTTTTTTTTTTTTTTTTGAATATCGCCGACGGAACATACCGGACCTATCTTTTATCTCGCCGACAAATCATTCCGGACCCTCTTCCTTAAATTTACCGACTCAGGATTTTTTTTTTTCTAACCCTTCGGCTAAAACTAGGTTACCCAAGATATTTTTCTCAACTAGCTACTCGATTGTGATGGACCACTCTTTGTATGGCGCTCACAGTCGGATTCAACTTTTTCTAGCGGATTTACACTGTGTTTTGGGGAGTCTACCGCCTCCGACTCTCCATGGACCCATGCAAGCGATTTTCAACTCGATTGGTTCTCAGCATAATCTCAATCGGCTGAATGTTTCCAATCAACGGATCTCTTGGAAGCGCCCGACCCATCGCTCAAGAAGTTGGAGGAAGAATCGCACAGGAACCGATTGCCAACGATCGCCGCAAGTTCATCATCCTCTACCCATCCCGCCAGTCAAGCAAAACACTGGCGACACTCCGAAAGAATACGAGATCCGGTTTCCCCAACACCAACAACTAGCCCACATCCACAACCATCACAAGCGTTCCAGGCCCCAAAAGAGCTCCCCGGTCCTCGGTCATATACAATCAAACGATCAACATTTTGATTTCCAATATTCTTACAATCGAGAGCCTCAATCGACTGAGGAATACCATGCCTATGGAAACTCGTCTTTGGAGCCACCTATCAACGATTTTGAAAACTGCTTAGATCAGGCACAAGATGAGGATCTCGACTCTGTTTCAGTCAAGTCGCGAGATGAATCAGTTGATCTAGATGAGGTTGAATGGGATGACCGGTCTGTTCTAGACATCAATGCGGATCCAGATCACTTAGAACAACAACCCGAGCCAGCTTTTGACTTAAAAAGCTACAGCGCTGACGATGTAGACCGCTGGGCCAGTACCTTGTCAGCAGAAGAATTCGAGCACCTTCGTGTTATGGGAACCGACGCTAGAACTGAGTCTTTCCGGCAATATGCTATCACCAACCTTGATCAACCAACTCAGACCCTAACTCCTCAGTTAAATCAAGAACCGCCTGATCACATCCCAGGTGAAGTAGCTGACAACCACGATCAAGATGCCAACAACCCTTGCGTTCATTCACATCATGTCAATCACCAACCCAACCAATACTCCTGCTCTAGTTACTATGAACACTCCAACTACAGCACCTCCAATCTTGATCAAAATCCAGATAACACAGCAGGTTTTGACGGCAGATTTGACGATGGCGGATTTGAAAATGGTGAATTTGACGATGGTGGATTTTACAATGGCGGTTTCGACGACAGATTTGATGATGGCGGATTTGACGATGGAGGCTTTGATGACGGCGGTTTTGACAATGGCGGATTTGATGACAGCGGCTTTGATGGTGGTTCCAATTATTATTAGCCTGTTTCACATCACAACCCTCTTTCCCAGTTCTCAACATTTTATTTTTTATCTTCAACCTACGTCTCATCATTTCTACCATTTTATTTTATTTTTATTATTTATTTTTTATCTTTCAGCCTCCTCAACCTTTCCACACCAATTTTTTCTTCAAGATTGATCTTATTTTGATTTTTTTTCTAACTTTCTTCATTTCTTCTATTTTTTTCTCAGCATGTATGTAGTTAGGACCTCCCCGGCAGGTGTCTTGGAGCCTTGCCGAGGGGGTGGGTGTTGTGACCTAGGTCACATGGTGTGACTCGGCTGCGGCTCAGCCAGCCGGAGGAGACTACATCTGTCTCCTCCGGGCCACACTTACCGGTGATCCATACGGTTTACCCCCCTCTGAGTCACTACAATTTTGAACTGTCAAGCTCACCATAGCCGTTGAGGATTTATAACTTATAAGCCACCAATATGGTCTGTTAAAATTTGCTTAACTGTCTGATTTTTATCTCCCATACCCTTTGAATTCATCATTGCACTGTGTCTTTATTTTGTTATTGGCATGTTCAAGCAAGGGGAGGGAGTCTGACTTCTGTTCCCTCCCTCTGAAAGCACACTCTGTATATGTCTTTTGGTATTGGGGCTATTGATAGTCACAAGGTTATGTAGAAGAGGAGCCAGGCAACCTATGGGTGCCCAACCAAAATTTATGGATTTCTGGCCAAAAAGTCAAAATTATACCCCTGAAAATCAGCAGATGATATTTCTTTCAGTATAGCTTATTTACCTAGGAAAGTGTATGAACAGCTTCAAAAAATCTAAGCATTTTGGAAAAAGTTGGATTTTTGGTTGGGGACATATGTAGGGGGC